TAATAAATTCGATTAGAAACTGCATTAACCGACCAGTGTGTGTTCAATCTTGGTAAAATATAGTTCAAACCACTTTTCAATTCCTTTTTACAAGATGTTTTTGGATTTTTTTGCTAAATACTATGTTTATCTCTTTTTTAAACAAGGCACCTAACGACCTATACAGTCTTTAGAGATGCGCAAATTAAATAGTTTTGAAGTCATTATCGTAGCCCGATGAGCTAAATTGTTCATTGTGATAGTGAATAATTTAGCTAATATAATACCTAATTCTGGTTGCCTCTATTATGTTCAATCTTTTTATAAATGGCCCATATCAATTTTTTTGGTGATCAGTGTAGTGCAACTAATTTTATTTTAGCCTGAATGAAATCTATCGAAATAATAAAAGCGTTGATACTTCACGCAACCGTGTTACTTAACTTTTGGTCTGGATGAATTCCAATTCAATATTTAGATACTAAATGCTGCATATCTATGCAGAAAAAAATTGTGTGTGGCACAAAATCACGTAATACCTCAGTGACTATTTCGTGTGACTAGTCAGAAATGCCAGACCGTAATTTGATTCTGTGTAAAAATAAAATACTTAGAATTATTTATCTTGTCTTCGTTCCTAGAGTTCTAGATCAGAGCATTTAAGAAATGTGTTGGATTAAGACAACCTAATGATATAGGTACATATGTAGGTATATTAGATATTCTTATTTAATTCTAATTATTTATTAATATGTGTCTTTACCTAGTGTCGGTCCCATGAAACAATCCTTTATACAAGTTATTGTGTAAACATCGCGTTGGCCGTAAACGAAACAAAATGTACCTTGGTTTCGCCGAACGAAAAGTAAATAACAAAATCCTTAGAAAAAAATAAAACTTGTTTTAAACGAGAGCTTACAAACAGTGGCGGACTAGCCACGTAGCAAGAGTAGCAAATGCTACGGGCCCCGCTCACCAACGCATTCTGGCCGTAAAAAGTATCAACTTAATTCGATCAAAGTGTGAAAATGTTTTTTCAAATCAATATAGCCACAATTCTTATCACGAAATAATAGCATCTAACTATAATTTAAAATTTTAATAAATTATTAAAAGTGAGCGTTGGTTGGACCCAACGCCGCGACGCCCAAGCCGGGCAAATTAACAGCATGTGCTGAGCCGAGTCCTCACTGCAATCGCAGTGATGACAGACGGGACTTAATTCTCTCCTAGTGACCGAGTGCAGAATCAGCCGTGACCGGAAAGGACTGCGTCAGTCGGAAGGAATGCCGCTCTGCCCACTCGACTATGACGCGCTGGAGCGACTGTAAGGCGTCAAAGCCAGCACGTGGAGCCTCCAGCAGGGAGCAAATATAAAACAAACCCTGTAGGGTTTGTTTTATGTTTGACTAGTATAACCAACCGGTCTGGCCAGCGTGGTATAATAGGCAAAAACCTCCTTTCCAAGGAGAGGCCTATGTTCAGAGGTAGACTACTATAGGGTTCTGATGATGATGATGAATACTATAAACCAGATAACCTAAAAGAACCCAAGGGCCCCTTGCTAGAATTGCTACAGGCCCCGCACGGTCTTAATCCGGCACTGCTTACAAACAAAAAAAAATTGCGTTGCCCGACACGTGCGAAATACGTGTACTTACAGTTTTACCCTATACCTATAGTTATTTGGCAGCTCAAAAACTTTTTTTAGACATAACCTGACATGACTAGAATAGTTTTATAAAATGTAAATAAGTAATCGCAGCAAGAGACGGAACCGTCTGGTTGTTGGCAAAACGGTTTCATGGACGGAATACGTTGCATTCTTATTCAATTTATTTAAAACCTCGTAATTATGCCGGCATTCTGTGTTTTCTTTACTTTTTTATATAAACTGTAAACCCTGTCGGCCTGTATAGCAACTAAGTTTCGCAACCAGTTGTGTAAGAGGATTTAATCTTCTTTCTTAACAAACAGTTGCGATAGAAGATTTATATTCTTAAGCTGTCGCATGTATGCAATTTGCCAGTTGACTATGATTGGTTTAGTGTTTAGGACGTAAAAGTATTACCAACAAAAATATAGTTGGACTGGTAGCATGTTAATATACATATAATTGTACAATGAATCGATATTTTTCACACCCCTATTATAAGGACCCACTATCCATCCTCTAAGGACCCTTCGCTATTAATGAATATGTATTACCTATAGAGATGTGATACACCATAATCGACTTCAAAAAGGGGACACCTTTCTCAATTTGGTTGCAATTTTATGGAGTGATTTGGGATAAAAAAAATATGGGAGGATATATTTCCTGTTTAATCCTATCTATTTAAAGAATAAAATTAATATAAAAAATAAAACAAACTTAATGATGGAAAATTAAGAAATGTAGAATACGTTTCATTATAATTCATCATAATTTAGGAGTATTTTACAAAATATGTGCTTCAAAAATATAATTTGATACGCAACAACCCTTTCAAATCGTCTAGCGAAAAGCATACGAGAACAGTAGCGCGCAAAGGGGAGAATTACCAGCTGTGAGAGGTCATTGACCGATCAGCCACCGAATTATGCAATATTCGGCCGGCATTTCAAGGGCAGTCACGATATTTGCTCTAGTGTATTTTGCACTATACACACATTGTAAAGATTACATGCGGCATGGGTGACTCGCGTTGAGACTCAAGCCAGAACTAAAATAGCATCAGCTTGTGAAATAATCGGTGTCGTATGGTTTAATAGATTCACACGTGAAGTCAGCTGACTTACATTCGCCCAGAGCATGTACCTAGTTCTAAATAATGAAACATTATCTTACAAGAAAATCCCAAGTGTTTAATCCTGTACTGAAATTACTATGCAGATTAGTGTTATTCAGTCTTACTTATTTAAATAGGGTTATTATTAATTTTTATTTACGGTGCTAACCATTGCTATTGAGGCACCATAATATATAGGTACCGTGATTTTTACAAAAACAGCAACTAAATTATTTATGCTAGAGTGGTAAATACCACATTAAATATTAAACAACATTTTCTATTTTCCTCTTCTTCTATATAGAAAAACTAACATGTTTATTAAGTAATAAATGTTTAGTAATTATACGTTGCAAAGCTGTTGTCACAACATAATGACCTCGACGAAGCCTACACTTCCTATTCAACTTTAAGCTCATCTTTTAAATTATTGATTTATGCTTAATTACAAAAGAACGCTTACAAACGATTAGGGTAAAATCTCTCTCTGTTCACATAGAAACGTAACTAATTGGAATCATACATATATTTTATTTTCCTATCAAATACATACCATACAGGAAAATAAAATATAAAACGACTGAAATACTATTAAATTTATAGTGAACTATGTTTCTACACAAAACAGAGAAATATTAATGAGAAATATACTTGTATATGACTAATAAATAACTAAAAAAAGATAAATAACCGGAGTACCACAGGGAAATTTAAAACACAATCAATTTACTTACCTTAAAATATAGGGCCAAGGGAAACTACGGAGAATACATGTAATCTATTTTAAGTAATTTTAATATGTTTTGCGAATTAAATTTTATATTGAAAAAAATTGAGCGGTTTTCACAGAATCACATCACTATTAGATACGAATTTAATATAAAAGTCTATGCACTCAGATGTTACTTATGTATAGAACATACTGACTAATTGCGAATGATCTACGCCTCACAGGCGGCGCGCGACCTACTGACTGGCCGCAGCACATTCGATTCGAGCTTGTCCGTGAGTCATTGTTAATTTGACATTGGAACACCGCTACTTCACGTCCAATGAAAGGAAAACGCGGCCAAAATAAAACCTACCGCACGTTGAACGCTACTCCACAAACGTCGGGATTATCAACTCTATTAAAGCTACAGATTTAGTTCGTGAAAATGCCGCAACATGGCGGCTAGCATTTTCTTTGGTTACATTACACCGACAGAAAAGCCATCTGTTGGTATTGTATGAAAACTTACTTTTTATAGTTGTTTTTAAATTGCTGCGTAAATGACTTCACTTGTTTTAAATTTACCTATTACCGGCATTGAAAGAATTGAAATCTTAGTTTAATTTTCGAAGTTAAAGGAAGTACTACATTGCAGCAATTCCTCAACTGGCCTACACTGGTCAAGCCATCCTTAGAAAAAATCACGATATTTCACCGCACGCTTTTTCGCAATATTCTGTGACACATGCGATCTATATAGGACTATTCTCACTGGCGAAATAGAATTCACGCGAAAAAAATATATGTGATTTGATGCAAGTTGAACGCGATACGGTGTCTATTTATTAAAAAAAAAACCTTGCGGTGAAATATCGCTGTGCGGACGGGCCCTAAAACTGCAAATGTATTATTGAGGCCCTGTTGATCTAGTGGTTAGTGTTCTGACTGCTAAATCCGAGGAAGTGGGTTTGATTGCCACCTATTAAAAATAATTGTGTGATGGGTGGTTTAATTTATCTGTAATAGGTATGTATGATGAAATGTATAAATATGTTTTTTAGGAGTCTGGTTACCATTGTACAGGCTCTTCCTAGTTTGGGATCAGATGGCTGCGTGTGAGATGTGTGAGGTTACTGTTATTTTCATTGTGAAAAAAAATGGTCGTATTGTGAATTTGTGAAGATAAGTGGCGTGCTGGCTAAGTAGTTTGAACATTTAAAGTTAAAAGTATTACATTTTTCTTGAAGGTGAGGTAACTGGTATTGCGCTTCTCTATTAATATCGTCCCATTAACTTGTATCTTAGGGTGTGTGTGGAACTATATTTTACTTTTTAGAAAAAAAATATACTTTAGAAAATATCTTGGGCACTTGCTTGAAATGTTCTGAAAAAAAAATTTGCCCATTTCAATTCAATGGAATAGAAATCATCGAACAAACAAACCAAGGTCATATAAAAAGACAAAAAAAATAATACGACATTCGTTTATTAAGATAATATAATTTTATAACAATGTCAGACCCTAAGAGATATCAGAATCATTTCTCTTTTTTCTCTGAGGATAGAGAGTTGTAAATTTTGTTGACCTCGTTGAGGACGAGGGACATGACGATGGTGCCGTTGGTGTCAATGAAGTTGGCGAATGACTTGGTGATTGAGGCCTCCCGCGACTTGCCAGATGAGTCTCGCATCACAAGAATCAGGTTGTACTTATCGTCGTGCCTGTTGAAAAATAAATTTGTAAGCATAACTATACTACGATTATTATTACAAAGACCCTAAAAATTCGTATAATATTGTGCAGACCATTTCACTTATCAGAGATACAGACCTAAAAATAAAGTAGAACAGTATTGAGTAGAATTGATAACATATTAAATCGTAACACGCTTTTATAATACTGTTCTAGGCAATTAGCATAACATGGCATATTTCGTTCTTTAGTTTAATGGAATGGAAAGAAACAAAACTGAATGGCATCTTAACATAGTATAAAATAAAGTCGCTTTTCTGTGTTGTACGCTTAGATATTTTAAGCTAAGCAACGGATTTTAATACGGTTTTCTCTCGAGAATTTTGAAGATTTATCGTTAAAAACATGTTTTTGTGCGCTTACATTGCAAATGCTGGCTAAACCTCAAGAGATAGATCAAAATAATGTCCTACGGAATGGTATATCTTAAAAAGATCTACGAAAAATTCTGCGATGGTATATGTCTATCTCCTAAGGATAACCCACAGTAATCATTTTTATCTTTTAAATATTACAAAAAATAATGGGTTTATTACGAAGCTATTTTAAACAATTCACTATTATTCTTTATCCAAGTAAATACGTTAGAAACGTTGCGCGTTTAATGTAGATTAAAATTGCTCTTTTAAAATGATATCTTAGAAGATATTAGAGGTTTAAAAATGCGGGAGTCCAACGGCCGTTGAGCTGTACGTCATAGAGATATAACCATAGAGAGAACACGTGGTACAGCTGCCTGTAAGTGGAAGCGATACAGGCAACGAGAGAGATGGGTGCCCGATATTTCCCTCTGTTTAGCTAAGCTGCGATTAGCTACTTAGCTTAACATATTCCCCAGCCAACCACAGAGCTTGGCTAGAAAAAGATAGAGGTGACTAACTATTCTGAATCTGTCTCGTTGCCTATATTGCGAGATTGGGGCTAATCCTATCAAAATAATAGTATAATTAATTACTCCACACTAACACCTCATTAATAGTATGTACATTGTACCCGTGCAAAGCCTGGGTGGAGCGCTAATAGGACATAATATAAAAATACTTTACTACCACAAAATACAGATTTTTTTTTTATTTAGAGCATTGTTGCATGCAACCACTGCTTGCTATCTAGATTTTTTTTTTCAATATTTTTAGAGTATAATTGGACCTGTAGTGTTTGTTTTGGGATTTTATTTGTATAACAAAAAAAAAATTAAAAATATGTGGAAACAGGTTATCTTTTATGTTTATAGCCAATTTTGAACATAATGACTGTTGACTTTTCAACACAATGATCAAGCTACAGAATCCCTATTTTGACCCACATTTAAAAAAATTGCAGTATTATGCTAAAACTTACTTCTTGACATAGGAGCTGGCTTCCCACACCCTATTGTTATTTCCAACCTTTTCCTTAGCAACAACAAATACTCCTTTTTCCTTGAATGTTGTGTAGAGTGTGAGGATACCCATAAGTATGAAATATGACGACACACAGATAATAAGAACCAATCTGTAACACATTTAAAATATTATAAATCAGCAGATCACCCACCACAAGCTTTATGGTACATTTTGATTATGTAATTTACTAAAATAAAACTAAAATGAACAGAAATTCAATGATGCAAATGACTAAATTCAATCTTATCTTCTAACACACCCCTACAAACAATTCTATAATTTATTATAAAATCATAATGTTTATCTAAGAAACTTACATTAAATCGAATTTTTTTATCATTTCACTATATAACAATGGTAAACTACTTTTAAACACATAACATTACAATGATTTTAAGGATATTAAACACATCAAACTCTTACCTTGATTGAGGGAAAGGATATAGATAATCCCAAAGTAGAGCATAGAGAGCCACTCCAACAGCTAACGCACATAGGAACAGCCGGCCATCAATTAGAGCAAAACTCTCTTTACATTTCAGGTCACCTGTCAAAACCTGAAATAACATTTTATTGATAGTGACAGCATAATATTTACAAATAAGTTTCTTATACACACCCTTTAAGTTTCCAATATTAGAGCATTTCTTTTATACTTGCTAAGACACAGTTATATACCAATAACAAGTATCTATACTAATATTATAAAGCTGAAAGGTTTGTTTATTTGGTTGTCAGTGCTAATCTCAGGAACTACTGGTAATTTATTTTGGTGTTGGATAGCCCATTTTTTAAGGAAGGTTATGTAACATTACACTATGTACAATAAGCATCAATGAATATTTTTCAAAAAGGGGGGAAAAAGGGGGTAAATTTATTCCTTTAGAGAGATGCAAACAAAGTTGTGCAAGTTACCTAGTGTGATATATACATACAGCCTTACTAATAAACTTTTACACACAGCATATACTAGGGTTATAAAAGATTTTAATGTTAATATTTTTATAAGTAGATATTTAATTTGTCTGATTTTATATATTATTCATTAAACAAGTGGTCACTGATACTACTCCATAGGCATTATAATATAATAATTTTAATAAAGCTTTTATTTGCCGAAATAATAACATATATTTTATATATAGGCACTATCTGTGTAGTGACGGATTAAGAATACAGAGTGTCACCACCCCTACTCATCCCATGGGTGTTGTAAGAGCCGACTAAGGGAGCAAACTACTTAGGACAACAGCACTGTAAATAGAAGGAAAACTTGACACAAACCCTATACCAACCGGTTTGGCAAGCATGGTATGGTAGGCTAAAGCCTCCTTTCTAAGAAGACGCCTATGTCCAGCTGTGGACTATTAAAGTGTTGATGTGTGTGTGATATATAGGCACTAGGGCACTGCTAAAAACTTGTAAAATGATTGCAAATCTAATGTATGTTGTAGCATGTATGAATCTTGTTCACTTAGTAATTGTTCAACAACTTGTAGCAGCACACATTTCTCAGATAATCTTTAATATTACTGATGGCTATTAACTAGTATTAAGTCTCTATATAAATTTATACTAAAGATCAAGATACTTAAGTACCATTAAGTGTTTATGACTGTATTTGTAACTTTAACCCCTGATATGCCATCCATCGGTGAGCTCTGTAAAGAGTAGCGGCATATCAGAGGTTAAACTTTCTATGTCATTCATAGCTCTATTTCATAAAGCAATACTGTTAAAGGATAGGTGATAAATAGATATTAACCTCTCTGATAGCATCATCAATAGCATTTTTGGCCGCAGCACCATCCCACTTATTGATTTTAACATTCTGAAAAAAAAAACATATTGTCGATGGTAATAAGCAAAGTTTATTTTCCGTATATAGACTACTATTATTTAGGCTATGTTGTGATATGTAGAATATAAAGTAGTACTAGCTTTTACCACTGGCTTAGTTTGCGTTATTATCGAAATTGACGAGCAATTTAATTTATCTCTGTACCAAATTTAATTCAGATCCGTTCAGGTATCGGGGCTTGAGTAATAAACATTCGTACATCCATCCTCACAAACCTTTCGGTGTTTAAAATGAATAATGGGATAAAATAAACAGTACTTTCAAACCCATGCATAAAAAGTAGTCAAACAGTGACGTGTCTTCTGTTGACGAAGTACAGTGCTAAATTACAACTTATAGTGAAGAACAAAAATTACCTCTGTTGTTTCAGTCATCTTTGGAAAGTCTTACTTATGTGAAAGATAAACAACTTGGTGTCACCCTTATTCAGTTTTCCAATTTTCGCCGAAGTAAAGCCGACGGCTGGAAACTGAAACAATTTGACTCGTAGGTGAATTTGACTTTGACGTTTGTTTTGTGTATGAGTTGGTGGATATTGATTAGAGATGGGACGTTAAAATCAATTTTATGAAAACTCCAATAAGATAATTTTTATTATGTAAGCTAATTAAACTTGACACAAACCCTATACCAACATATGTATTTATATCGGTTGTCTAGTACCCATACCACAAGCTCTGCTTAGTTTAAGACGAGATGTCATTGTGTGAATGTGGTAGAATATTATATTATACTTATCATCAGGAGACCCACCTGCTAGTCAAAGCCCATATCATAGAAAATATGCACAGGCCTGCTTACATTACTTCATTGAATTTGTTTAAAGTTTTACATGATTATGTACACGTATGTAATTATGTATCAATTGAACCTGCTTGTTTAGACTGTGTATATTAGACAACTTTGAATTCAAAGTTATCCAATACCTAAAATGTGATCGCGTTAATTCAAGTACATATGCCTTATGACAAATGTACTAATAATAATAAATCAATTATTGGAGTAACTAAGACTCAAAGATGTTAGTAACAATTTGAACGTAAACGTAAAAAAGAACATAAAAACCGTTTAAAAGTAATGCAAACGTCATCCTTCCCATAAATATTTTTTCTTTTTCAGTTTTGCTTTAACTTTAATTTTAAAGTTTAGTTGATATACCACCCTTTAAGTCGATAAATTGTTTAAGTTTTTAATGGGATCTCATTATTATTCTTGTGGCGACTCCTACACTCTATGTAAGTGGCTGAAAATTGCATGAACCGCAAAAGTCACTTTGTAATCTTACAACTATTTTATAGAATTGCAACATTACTTATGCAATTAGTAAATCATATGGATATGCAATGATAGAACGCGTTACGGCGTTCCACAACCCAACTAGTTTAACAGAGACGGAATTGTCAACGAACATGGTGGAATCAATTGAAGATCTAGAAGGCCTATCGAGTAGGAATTAAAACGTATTTAGCATGGCTACGCTTGGGTGACGATGCGTCGTCCAAGCGCAGAAAACCGTCAGTTCATGATATTAAACATCATTTATTAGGCTTTAATGGTTTTATTTCCTTGTTTCAATTGCCCTGGATGAAAGATATGTGTGTTTAGATCTAACTTTTTTTTTATGACGTAGCAGCCATACAAACGGACGGAAACTTGATAGTAAGTGACTGCTGAAGTACAATGGACATATGGTACTTAAGAATCACCAGTGCATTGTCAGTCTTTGAGGCCAAAGTATACTCTTTTCTTGAAGGTTTGAAAATTGTATTGGTCCGGAAATACTGTGGGTATTATTTTTTTTCCAACGATTCCTTGTAAGGTACAAAAAAATCCTGAAAAGAAAGCGCACAGTTGTGGAGTGCTAATTATCCAAGATGAGTATGAATGTTTTGTCTCTTTACACGATGGCGGAAAGCAGTTGACGGTATAAGTTCGCAGCACTCCGCATAATACAAGTGACAAGGAATGCAGAGTTGGTCTACAACGCATTATTGACTTAACATCACTTAACATATTACTAAGATGGCATCAATCTATTAGCCTCGAAACGAAAAACAGGTGTACCTGAAACTTACCCTTACAAAGTATTCCGGTCAAGTACACTAGTAACTTATTCATTTTATTGCATTAATAACTATTCGATTTATTTATAGCACTATCCAATTAATCATCAACAGAGATCACTTGAGATTACAGTATTTAGTATGTTATTTTTAATCTGTATACCTTAAAAAATTTACATGCAAAATGTATAATTTCTGTCTATGGCACGGATGGCAACAAAAAAAAGCAATGAAATAATGTGAAAAATGGAATTAAGCTTGTTAAATATTTCTTATAATTGGTGAAAGAGTCTTATGGTTTTGTATATAATGCTTCTTGTAAACAAGTGCCCAGAATTAATTTAAATATAAAAAGTAATGGTATGTAGCCAATTTAAGGGTCCTGCAATGTTATTGCTCTACCACCAACAGTAACCGGTGGCTTCACACATATATATTCTGTAACAGTGTCATTTCACTTATAAAATCTCTGAATTATCATCACTTAATGTAATCTTGTAAGTTTTATGTATTATTTTTGTCTTACAACCATGTGCTATGTTAACAGTAATGCGAAACAATAATGATCGAAAGAGGTCACTGTATGTTCAACCAAATTTTGAATTTCTTATCTAAAGGTAATTGCGTTTTCAGGTTGTATGTTGCTACACTGACTTATTACTATGGCGAAGAGAAAGAAAGCAGCAGCAAAACAAACACCAACTCGTCGTACTACTCGAAGCGCCAAACAACAGGCGAACGCTGAAGCCTCGGCGTCCATGGATGGCGAGACCTCCAATGCTACCCAGCCCACAGAATCCAAAAGTAATCAAAATGACCCTGAAAATGTTCCAAATGAAGAAGCAAGTACCCCTGCACCACCATCATCAGAAACAAGTGAACTAACAAAATCCTCTCTGGTCCCTGTTGTAGCACTGCACAAGAAATTTGGTAAATACCGTTGTTTGTTAAACAATGATGAGACCTTTACTAAAAAGTATGATTTAGGCAGTGACAGTGAAACAAATAGTAGTGTGGAGATAAGAGTTGTTGATCCTTGTGCAAGCTCTGAATCTGATTCCAATGCAGCTTTAGAAACACAATTGGACAACACTTCTATTAGACCTCACTTGAGTCCTGTCTACAATACAATAAATACTCATAGCCAATTGAGGAATATTTCTCCTTTACGGGTAGTAACCGATGAAGTACCATCATGTAATAAAATTCCATTGAACAGATCCAACGAAACAAAAGAATATAAGTCATTATCACTAGAAATAGTTGATCTGACTGAAACTGATTCAAAGGCCAGTTCAACAGAACAAATGATGTCAACTTCAGAACAGACATTTGTTGTTGAGGATTCTACAAGTAACAATAAACCAGATGCTACAGATGTCCAAAACATTCCATTTGAAACTGAACAATTGGAATTTGGTGGTGATGATGATGATGACGATGAAGTCATCACTGTTGTTCAAATTGTTGAGGATGATAATCCAGAATTGTATTATAATATCAAGATTGATAGCCCAAAAGCAAACCTAGTTGAACAGCACACTATAGAGGAAAGTGAGAACACTTCTAAAAATCATGACTTCCAATCTCATTTTGAAAAGTTGAATCTTACATCTGATGATCCTCGGTCTCCTATGGATTGTTCAGATTCTATTGATTTGGAAACAACATCTTGTGGCACTCCAGATTTACAATTTACAAAAGAAAATTTAAATGATGGAATAACAAGACCAGATCCTAGTATCACACCTAGTTCTACACTCTCTGATGACAGTAACTCATCAAGGGTTACAGAGCACAATCAAAATAATTCTAATGATTCTGCTGAGTCTTCCCCAACTGGTGTTCGACGTTCCAACCGAATAAAGACAATTAGTAACTTGAAGCAAAAGACGAAAGGATATGGCTTGGTGAAGACACCATTAAAAAAAGCTTTAATCACACAGACTAAATTGAAGCTAGAAGAAATTGGATCTGACAGTCAAGACAAATCACTAGAATCATTACCAAGTACAATGCCCAACTCCCCATCATTCCCTGTGCCCTCCGAAATGCCTGTAAAAGTAAAGTCTCGCTGGCGACGTTCATCCGAATTAGAGATGGGAGCAAACTCACCGGCTAATTCTCCATTAGCCAGCCCAAGTCTGCCACAGCAACGCTTACCTACTGTGGCAGAAAGCTTTAGTCTTCCAGAAGAAGAACCAATTCCTTTAAGCAAGGAGGCATATGAGAAAATTATTGAAGAAAGGATGAACCAGTACCAACATTTAGATGAAAATGAGTATATGTGTGAGAGAATGATTAGTAAGGAGACTAAGAAAATGACTTGTGACTGCTTTATGACCAAAGAGGAGTTAGAGAGAGGGGAATTGGCTTGTGGAGAAGATTGCCTTAATAGACTGCTTATGATTGAATGGTAATATTTTTAATACCTTTTTTGTAAATATATATACTAGCTTTTGCCTGCGGTTCCGCCCGCGGAAATGTCGGTTATCGCGGTAAAAAGCCAATAACTGTAAAATAACAATAATATTGAGATATTTATGAAAAATGCACGAAAGTTCATATGCCACTATTATGTTCCAGTAATTCCCGATGTCCAGTAGGAGACCGCTGTACTAATAGACGGTTCCAGAAAAGAGAGAATGGTCCTCTAAGGGTGTTCTATGCTGATAAAAAAGGCTGTGGAGTAGAAGCCAGTGAAGATATTCCACCGTAAGTAATACTATAATTATAATGATGTCATAAAAAAGTACTTCATGAGCTATGCAATTGTTTTATCTTAATGTAAGATGCCTAAGATGATACCTAGTTAGAAAACAATAGATAAATGTATACTCTAATTCTTAGAAATAAGCAACTTATCTCTTTGTAAGGACTAATTTAAAAGAACTAATTATTTTTATATTTAAAATGATCTAGCTATTATGTGGTTTTTTTTCTTACTTGCAAGGATAGTGAAAAGCAAGCATTTAATAAAATTGCAGGGGTAAATAATCATTAAATTTTCAAAATGGTTGTGTCTTGTCAACTCTAATGTTTGTCTGTTAGCATAGTTGCGACTGATTGAGCCTGGTGAGCTTAAGGTTAGAATGGAACATGAACTAATAAGTGGGTGTAATAATACATTCTCTGATTATAGATATTGACTGACATACATACAGTCTTATTTGTGTCATCACGCCTTCTTCATTTTTTTTCTGTTTACTATTAGCTTCAAATAACCTCACTTTCTTATAAACAAGTGAATAAAAATACTTGTAAAATATTTATCGTAAATATATTAATATACGGTTTTAAGGATATAGTTAAGGTTATGATGAAAATATAACAGAGCTATGCACGGTCATGAATAGATTGCAGCAATTCCAGTGACTCCCATGCTCTGCGGTCACTCTTTGTAAGCGCACGACGCCAACTGCCACACTAAAGGCTCTTGGGTTGCCCCCACTGGACTTGTTCCTAAAGCAGAAGGCACCCATTGCGATCATTAGACTTGACATCTAGGTCTGTGGCACAAAGACGAGGGATGGCAATCCAAATTATGGGATCAATTAGTGGAATATGAAACATTATTAGCAGCCCCATGCGACAGAAAATCTTCACACAATGATGAATGTGTCCCCTTTTATTGTGACTGCAAATGTTTAAAAAGCAGTGAGGGTCTGAATGAGCTCTTGGAAAGCTTGTTTTTGGTTACACTGGACAGTGCATAACCTGAGATACTTTTTATGTACTTTAACAAACAAACATATTTGTATCTAAACACAGTGTGTTTTAGCTATTGTATTTAGTGTGTCTATTTAGACATGACCCATGTGGACCTTTCTATGCGACGAAACACAGCCAATAGTTAATCAATCTACTAATCGTTTTAGTAGAATTAGTAGTACATTGTGATTTTGATGAAATTCAAGAACAATGCTGATTTTTTTACTTTTCTCTTATTTTTTCTAGAACAAGTTTCGAAATATTGTCTTCAAACCAAAACACGTGTTAATAGCGTCTGTTTTCGCCTTGTTGACTAATCCACATTCTACTTCCTATAATTGCATTTATTGCATGTTCTAATCATATTATGATACATTCAGGTTTACTTAGAGGAAGGCAAATAGTAATATTAATACTGAGTAAAAATATTATCTCATCCTATCAACATTGGACCAGTGCACTACTTAAGATACATGCTTAATGAACATAGTGCAATAGGAAATATAACTTTTGCCCTTTTATAAGTAGTAGAGTGACTGAACTGTCCTTTTTTAGCAGCTTGGCTTACTAACTGATGGGATGCTTTTTGTGTAGTTATTAAGTTTGCCTACTAAACTTAATTCTAACAATGCCATTAAAATGCTACTATTTTAAGCATATAATGTAACTGTATGCAAACTCAGTATACACAAAAGCAATTAATAAAAAAAACCTAATTCAGTGAACAAATCTTATTAGGTTTATTATGATAAGAATTTTGAATTTGAATCTTTTCATTCGTTTTTAAAACAGCAAATGTATGGAGTATTGCAAATAACAGATGTAAAGATTTTGCCTACTGCCATGGTGTAGGCAAAATATCAGAAGTAAAGATGATTCTGAAACTATAAAGTTGTCTAGAGTGCAAAGCACGTCTTTATCAGGACACCTTTTTCTTTGCAGGGGCGAGTTCCTAATGGAGTATGTAGGAGAAGTCCTGGACTACGAGCAATTCTACAAACGCGCCCAGGCCTACTCTGACGATAACAACCTTCATCATTATTTCATGTCGCTGAAAGGTGACACGGTTATCGATGCAACACTCAAAGGAAATATATCAAGATTTATCAACCATTCATGTGATCCGATTGCTGAGACACAAAAATGGACCGTCAATGGAGAACTTAGGATCGGGTTTTTCAGTAAAAGGGAAATCAAAGCTGGTGAAGAAATCACATTTGATTACCAGTTTCAAAGGTTTGGGTAAGTCACATATTTTTATATATATTACACATAAATTATTAAATTATTAATTTATCACACTGCTATATTACATAAGATTTCTTTAAATTCGCATTTAATACGATGGTAAACGTCATTCATAACATGAATTATGGTAAATACCAAAACTGCTGCTATCTTACCAAAAATCTATCATTTGGTTCTATGTCAACTGTCATTTAATTAACAGACAACTACAAAACATGAGTTTAGTTTATCATCACTTTAAAATGATTTGTTCAAGTGTATTGACGCTCAAAATTCCAGTCGGTGTTGTGCTACCAACAGTAACAGAGATGTGTTGTTTACTGCAGAAAGGTGGCCCAGCGATGCTACTGTGGAGCCAGCAACTGTCGCGGTTGGATCGGTGGTGAACCGGACAGCGAAGATGAAGATGACGAAGAGGTATTTGTAGACAAAGGACATTTGTATCCTTAACAGTTTCATTACAATTGAATTGTTCTCAAAGTCCGAAAAACAAGTTTTATTTCACTCTAAATGTTGGTTGGTACGAAAATTCACAATTTTATGTTTCAGGAGGACGAAGACGTCTCCACGTCTAAGACTGGACTTACAGAATCTACAGAGGAGTCTTTGGCTACACCTAATGATCCACCGCGTCCGCGGTTGCGCCGCCCCAAGAAGGATCGCGCGTACAAACCTAAAGCACCCGACTTGGTTCAAGACGCTGATGTAAGAGACTTGTTTATTTTCAAAACTGAATTTAAATTGTGTTTCTTACGCAAAAATGAATTTAAATGGTGTTTTCACGAATTCTGTCCTGAACAATGTTAAAAAATTCTCTATCCGTATTTGCAGTTGTTAGTGAGTCTTAATAGTTTGAACAAATTATAAAGACTACATGTATATCTTCCGTTGAGTTATTCGCAAGTTATATTTGTATTGAATTTCAATAAAGTGAATTGTTATTGAGAGTTAGATAAGGGTATATACTCAGTATATTTGAATTTTATTAAAACAAATCCTATTTGGTATTCAGTAGAAATAAATTTATATTAAGTTAGGTCACATATTAGACCTTAATTTACATTAGATTTTTTCTGATATCTTACTTAATAAGGTGCAAGTTATAGTGTTTTACAACGAATAATCATACGACTGTCATAAAATTTGTCAACGAAACAAAATAATTTCAATTACATGATTGTTTTTACATAGATCGAGGAAGACCTAGAGGCCTTGGGTCGTACTGGCGTCAAGAATCAAAGCCATACCCTGCGCCTGTCGCGAACGGTGGTCCGCGCCAAGACCCGGCGAGCGCAGTGCTCGCTGCTGCGCCTGCTGCGGGACGCCGACCTGCCGTGCCGCAGGCTGTTCCTCGACTACCGGGGCCTACGCCTGCTCGCGCCTTGGTGCACTGACGCCCCTCTCGATTTCAAGTACGTACACATTTTTTAATTTAAGATGATCAGAAATATAAATTGATAAAAAATATATATATAACTATCACATTAATCTTTCCATATATGTATATATGAAATTACCTATTTACAGTCTATTTGTTCATCCAAAGGTTGCCTGTAAGATATTGCTTTTTAGCGATAAGGCCGCTATTTGTACACGGTCATTGACTTGTAATACTATTGTATGTAAAATATCCTGAATTGGTGTACAATAAAGATTATTCTATTCTATTCTATATATTAACGAGACTGATAATTAATATTATCTCTTGGAAAGTTATTGAGAGCTTTATGATTTAATTATAATCTACAGGCTAGAAATGTTACTGACCGTGGACCGTCTACCAATACCAAACAAGACAATGGTACAAGAGAGTCGCTTCTTCACGATCGTAGAGCGGTGGCTAAGCGCCGCCGACCAGCCGCAGGATAACGTGTTCATTGATGAGGCGACTGGTAAGGAACTTATTATACTTGGTAATCTGTTATGATCTTAAATCAAGTGTCTAAATATTTAATCAATAAGTGAACTGAATAGTTTCTGCAAAGAACATCGTTTTCAAGTATCACAAGAAAGAAATAAATACAAACGTTTACACTTGGAGACTGTTACTCTTCAAAATTAATACAATCGTACACATGCAAACTTAATACTTGGAATAATATTTAATTACAATAGATTATGATAACTAATACTTGAAATGGTTTTGAACATATTAAAAATTGCCAAAAATGAATTGCGACCCTGCCAGGATTCGAACCTGGAATCTTCTGATCCGTAGTCAGACGCGTTATCCGTTGCGCCACAGGGCCTGTTATCTAGTGCTTCGAAAAATACAATCAAGTGACTGGTACAAGAATTCCTGAAGGTCAAATTTCGATTGTTTTGTCGTTTTAATTCATGAACCAGTATATCTTGAAATGTCATTGTACGGACTTTTGTAGCATGAATGGTCAAAATTTATGTATACTGGACCTCTATAGTTTAATGTAGCTGGGATATCAGAACGCAATGTGTTTTTAATTTTAGTTAGTGTAAATGTTTTTTAATACGATTATTATTTTTATTATGTCAATTTTATGTAAAATTAGTTAGGAATTGTATAAAGAGATGAGAATGTTAAGATGTACCTAACATTTGTTAAAAAAGAATATTTTTTTTGTTTAAAATTCTCTTACAGAATCATCTTATTTGATTTTCCTACACCGAATCAATAAGAGTATTAAAAATAGAACAGAATATATTACGGCTTTAAAAGCATGTCAAACCTAGGCTGTCAACAACACCTGAAGATAAAAAACGATTTAAATGTTATTTTATTTAACAGGTTTGCCAGTAGAACTGCCTAACACTGGTAACCCAGAAGATGTTCCTGGTTCCGAGAAGGCTAAAGATACTGTTTCGGTCCTGGAGAAAATAAAAGATCTCTCTAAACAATTATTGGAACGTTGGTCCAGTTTGAAGGTATAGTGTATATTTAATCAATGATTGTAGGCCTTCGAGAAAGCGTTCAAGCAAACCTTCAAGAAAAGAGCGTACTCCTTCCTCAAAGGCTGGCAACTAGTTGATATATGTATATGTTCTAAATGATGTCTCCAATCATAAAACGGATATAAGGGTACGTGATCCCGGCTCCTTCGAGCTTCTGCGATCTCAGTCCCGTGACTGAAGCCGACAGTTGCGGTGTCCTTTATTCTAGCTTCATCAAACTATTAGTTTCCTTTCTTTAATCCCGTCTAAAAATGGTAACACTCTTAAGGAGGGTAAGCGTCAGGCAAGCAGCCGGCCAAAAACAAACAAAAAAAATATTATTACACATAACGCTGACCTCTAAAAAAAATTGGATGAGAAAATTCTATTTGTCTTCTTAGTTACAATGCTTTTGCTCTTTCTTTTTCTCCGGCATATATGTCTATATTGTTTTTGCAGGAGGTTTTCAAAATTCCAAAGAAAGAACGGATACAACAGATGAAAGAACATGAAAGACAAGCCAACGTTGAACGACGGGCGGCAGACTCGAGCGGCTCACGGGACCGGGACAGGGAACGCCGAGAAGAGCGGGAGAGGCGAGACGAACGGGAACGAGATCGTGAACGTGAGAAAGATAGAGAAAGAGAGCGCGATCGAGATCGAGAAAGAGATCGGGAGCGCGATAGAGCCGACAGAGACAGAGATAGATATAGGGAACGGGAAAAGGACAAAGACCGAGACAGGGATAAAGACGACAGAGATAGAAGAAAAAGAAGGAGTAGTCCGGAAGGCAGGAGGAGTATAAGGTAAGATTTCTTTATTAGCTCAGGATTTACAACATTTTGATCGCTGTCTCGTTAAATAAAAGTGATGTTTGTATCCCTCGGGTACGGGAACATTACCTTTCTGTGTACACTCGCCAACACATTCGTGTAAGCAATAGTTTGTAATGATTTAGAACACAATGTATGTGTGCAGGTTAAGCGAGCGCGTGCTGGCGGCCGTGCCCCCCATGAGCAAGGAGGAGCGGCGGCGCGCGTTCGCCGAGGCGGCGGCCGCGGCCGACGAGTCGCGGCGTCAGCGCGCGCGAGACCCGCCGCCCTGGCCCTACTGGCACCAGCACGACGCCTTCCAACAGGTACGTACGCTACTTGGCTACAGGCGTTCACTGCAAACGTGGTATTACAAATTCACTTGCGTCACCAGTCTAACACACGACCTGATCTGATCCCAAACTAGACAGAGCCGTACTATGATAACCACACTGCTGGTAAACATATATATATGTATATCTAAATACATACACACATATTGTAGATAAATTAAACATTAATACAGAACAAACGACCGTGCCCATCGCATAATTATTTGTCCTATGTGGAAATGGAACCCACGAGCAGTCAGGATTACTAATCACATTCATTACATAGAAAACAAGACACACAATAACATAAAATGTACAGAGAAAAGATTTAAAATCCAAATTAAATAACACGTGATAACACGTAAATGACTGCACGGATGGCGTAGTGGTTTAAGCGTTCGCCACGCCGCTTCCTACTACGCTGAGTGTTGTGGGTTCGATCCCATATGGGACCACACTTTATGTGATTCACAAATGGTTGTTCTAAGTCTGAGTGTTCTTTGTGTCCGTTTCATGTATGTTTGTAAAGTCCCGCTCTACACAAGAATATCCTAATGCGGGCGTTGTCTTTAAAAAAAAAAAATAACAAGCTAGTTGTCCTGCCGAGATAGTGCTATTGTAACGAGTTTTAACTTAATACCTTGCCGATACTTTTAGGAATAAAAACGCATGACGTTACTCCGTTGATATGATAATTTTGAACCAGAAAAACTGTGTGGAAGTTACTGTAATACAATAAACTATGGTTGATAAATGCACATCAAAATGAATAAAAATTTAAACAAAATCAATATATAGATGTTTAATGAAATATATTGTGGTACAGCAAATGTTCCCGGGGAGCATGGTGGGCGGTGTAGTGTGCGGCGTCCCGGGTCTGGTCCCAGAAATGCCTCCTGACTGGATGCCGCCTCACCCTGGACACCCGGAATTCCAAACCCCTCCTTTCTGCCCACCATTTCCCGGAGCACAGCCTTTCTGTATGCCTCAGCCAAAGTAAGTATAAAGAATAAACAAAAAACCTATTTAAATGAAAAATATTTCACTTTTATTTTGTGAAGATATATTCTAACTTGTATTTTAAAAGACATGTTTGTTACATGTAATGTTCCCAAACTATAAAAATCCAACTTATAATAAAGCAAATGCAATATTGTTCCTCTGTAAAGCTGTCTGTAACTTCCTTACAGTTTGATGGGTATGAGCGGATTCAGCATGGGTGGGTTTATGTTTGGTCAGCAAGTGCCAGGTGGCCCTTCCTTCCCACCGCACGCACAACCACAACCTGCACAACCGTCGTCTGAAGCTGCACAACCGGTATGTTGTTTAAATTAACTTCATTTGAGGCTATGTAACGTTATGCGTAATATTTGTGTGTGCATTAAAACTAAGGGTTATCCATTTTAATGGGACTAATCCCACCCACACGCCCACCACTGTAACTCCTGTACACCAGGATCCACAGCAGTGACCCACAAACACACCGAGTTATGACACTCGGGAAGTCCCAGGAAGAAATTAAACTGTCTTGGAAAATTGGAGGAGTTGGAAATACAGTAAATCCACTTCCCTCCTTAGCAAAGCGGGAGACAAAATGAAGTAAAATGGGCCTACACCCTTTTAAACAGGGAAGCACCACGGCCACGAAATATTACGGGTCCTACTTGAGCTATATTTGATTAAGGGTTATCCATTGTGACAAGCCGGTAATCTTCAAAAGTAACAGTATTTATTGACAGGTTGTTTTAAATAGTGATGTACTGAATCGTTAAGCATTACAGCTAAGCCAAGTTTTCTCTTAGTTATGCGTAATCTTTAAACGGCAGTTGAGAATCAGATTTGAATAATGTGACATATTTTGAATTGCATATTTTGACACATTACATAGATTACTGGTTTGATGTAGAAATAAAGATAGTCAAAGTTATGACTGGAAACAATCTAAATATTCCACCACACTATACATTTAATGTTATAACATATAATGTAAAAGATCCGTTTAAGATCCACCATAAACGAATGCGAAATCTTTTTCACTCTCGGATGTTCGCGGATACTTATACTCATTAAAACTTAATGACAAAAAATTAGATTTTGATGTACTACAAGTTTGACGATTTTCATATTGGTAAATACATTAAAGATTTATAAAAACTTAAAATAGGCTCCTGCCGGTCGTGCGCAAGAAGCCAAGAAGGTGGTGCTGCCGTCGCTGTGGCGCAGCGCGGAGGACGAGCGCGGCCGCACCTACTACTACCACGTCAAGCTGCGCCAGCCGCAGTGGCTGCCGCCGCCCGCGCCGCCCGACAGAGGTGCGTGCACTGCCTCACTCACTCACGCGCTCGCTCACTCACTCAATCACTCACTCACTCAATCACTCACTCACTCACTCACTCACTCACTCACTCACTCGCTCGCTCGCTCCACCACGCTCATGATGCGCTGCTTCGCTGTCTTTTCTTTCTTATAATACATTCTGTAGAAATGTGTCAAGCGAGGATTTATGACGACGTACCCCGCTATTACAAACAATTTGCTTTTAATACTAGCCTTTACAATATGACACTTATTTTTCAAAACACCATTTCATTATTAACTATAACCACAAACAACTATACTAGAATCCACTATAGTAAGTCAGACAGAATTATCTCCATTAGAATGACCCTTATCCAGACCTGTTTACTTAAACGCATTAGTCCATATATTTTCTCGAAGCGGATAAAACACCGACTTCTACTAACTATTATTTGTTCCCACTCATGTATGAGCCAAGTCTTTTTAGGAGATGAGGGTGATAAAATTAGAAGTATATTAGCAGGAAAATTATGTCCAAAGAAAAGTAATTGATGGAAAATGATAGTGTGTGTACAAATCAATGAAACGTGTATGCAATAGCTTAAGCAGATCAGACTAAAATATCTATGACTCGGACTAACTGTGACCAGGGAGTCAGAGCCATCTTATACTTGGATAAAATAACAGAAACCAGTCTACGTTTTGCAAGAGTAAACGTATAGCGTTTAATTTTGTTTATGATGTAATCTCGACCAAACACATACAATATGTCCGTACAAACTTATCCTATCCTATAATAACATGTTCTATGCTTGTTTATAGAGGATAGTTCGTCAGACGATGAAGAGGAACAAGTTAACGCAGGATTGGATAGTCCTCTAATTAGGCGACAGACGAAAGGAAAAGTTGTTGAAGGTGTCAATGGTATTTACGAAGGTGAGGACTTGAGAAACATTTAATAAAATAAATATACACACGTTTTTTTTTCAAGTCAGTGTGTGTAACAGTTGCAAGTAATAACACGTAAAAAAACCTAACGCCTATGTGAATACTAGTTATACATACACTCGCGGTTAAATGTCCGAATAGCTCACCCCCGGAGGATTATTAAACGCCCTCATATTTCGACTATAATTTTAATCCCACTTACGTAATTACGTAAAAGAGGGCAACCACATTACCACCCCTATTCAACCCGTGGGTGTCGGAAGAGCCGAGTAAAGGAGCAAACTACGCAGGACAACAGCACTGTAAAGAGAAGCAAAACTTTTCTTGATATAAACCCTTTTTTTTTTTTTTTTTTTTTTAACGTGTGGAAATCCCCTCGGACCGTCACCCCTCCGGGGTTTGCGGCGGGGTGGTGTGTCGGACTCGGACCGACTAAAACCACACGGTGTGCCACTCTGCGCCTGTAACAGGAGGGATCCGGGAACAGCTGTTGTTAAGACATCCGGACCCCTCCTAGCGCCAGCCCGCTCCTGGTGCGGGCTCCGTCTCATTGTAGATGTTCCTCTCTTTAGGCGACGTCCGGCACACGCGGACGCCGCCCCCTCGCGGCTGGCCAACTAATGCGGGTGGAGGGGAAACCCACCCCGTCCACCCGCGGCCACACTCAGGGCGGCATGAGGCTGTGGTAGGCGGGCCTCCGCCGCCCGGTTCGCCGGCGGCGGATCGGGTCCGAGTGGAGGTCGTCCTCCCGGGCCCTCTCCGCCGCCTCCTTCCGCGAGATTACTACCTCGCAGAAGGTTGCGACCGCGGTAAAACAACTGTCGCTACCGGCCATGGAGCGTACTACGGCCGGTAGCGAGAGATCCACTCCGATGACTGCAGTGAGGGCCCGGCGCTGCGACGCCCAAGCGGGGCAGACCGCCAGCGTGTGCTGGGCCGAGTCCTCACTGCAGTCGCAGTGGTGGCAGGCGGGACTCAGTTCCCTCCTAGCGACCGTGTGCAGGTACTTTCCGAAGCAACCGTGCCCGGAAAGCACCTGCGTCAGTCGGAAGGAAAGGGTCCCGTGCTGCCGCCCTGCCCACTCGGCGATGACCGGCTGGAGAGCCTCCACGGCGGCGAAGCCAGCGCGTGGAGTCTCCAGCCGGAACGACCAACGAGCCATCGTGGCTCGGCGAGCGGCTTCGCGCCACTCGCGCACATCCTCGGGCGGAGGGCGAAATCCGCTCTCCGCCCGGTAGTCAGCCACTCGCCGATAAACTTCGGCGAGCACTTCCGCCTCCAAATCCCACGGGGGAGTTCCGGCCAATGCGCATGCCACCTCCGTCGAAACGGTGCGGTAACCGCGTATGGCTCTGACCGCCATTACCCTCTGAGGGCGCCAGAGGCGTACCCTATTCTGGGCGGTCAGAGCCGCCGCCCACACCGGTGCACCGTACAGTGCCATTGACCGGACAACCCCCGTGAACAGCCGTCTTGTCGCGACGCTGGGTCCACCCATATTGGGCAAAAGTCGCCCTAGGGCAGACGCAGCGCCGACCAGCTTTGGAGCAAGCTGTCGGAAGTGCTCGTCGAAGAGCCACCTCCCGTCGAGGATCAGGCCCAGATATTTCATCTGGGCCCGAACCGGTACGAGGACCGAGTTGACCACGATTGAGGCGCCAGGGGGTGGACCACGACGGGGCCCATGGAATAACAGGGCCTCCGTCTTATCTAGGGCCACCCGTAAGCCCAGCGCCTCAATGCGCCCGACCACCAGGGAGACTCCCCCTGTGGCCAGGCGCGCCGCCTCTTGGAAGTTTGCCCCCCGGGCTGTCACGAGGGTATCGTCTGCGTAACAGATTACACCCAGCCCGGGGGGGAAATCGGCGCGAAGGGCCCAGTCGTACCCTATGTTCCACAAGAGGGGTCCAAGAACAGACCCCTGTGGAACACCGCACGACATGGGCCGACACCTCAGATTACCTTCTCGGTCCTCGTACACGACGGTACGCTCCTCTAAATAGTCTGCCACCAGCCGCCTCAGGTACTTTGGCACCCCATGATAGTGGAGTGCTTCCCTGATGCAGCTGAATGGCAGACTATTGAATGCGTTGGCGATGTCCAGTGACACCGCCAACAGCACGCCGCCACAGCTCACGGCCTCTTCGGTCACGGCCCTCAGGCGCAACACGGCGTCGACCGTCGAACGCCCCGCCCGAAAACCAAATTGGGCGTCCGACAGATCGGGGCCCACCTCGCAGAGGTGCCGGACGATGCGGGCAGAAAGAACCCTCTCAAACAATTTGCCCGCCTCGTCCAGCAGCACGATGGGCCTATAGGCCGCGACCGAATCGGCAGGCCGTCCCGGCTTCCTCAATAGGACCAGCTTCCCGCTCTTCCAGCACTCAGGGAAGCGTCCCGACGCCAAGCTAGCGTCGAACACCTCCCCGAGGCGGTCTGCCATGTGGTTGAAGCGTCGAACACCTCCCCGAGGCGGTCTGCCATGTGGTTGAGGGCCAGAGCCAGCACTCGGGCCGGTACCCCGTCTGGCCCAGGGGCGGTGTTCTTGGAACGGATCCGTAGAACAGCCGCCCCTACCTCCGATTCCCGGACGGGCGGAACATTGTCCTCCCCGTGCTCCCCGTCGTCTCCGGCCAAGGAGGCCATCGACGGGGGAGTGTGTTCCGCCCGTTGTGGGAAAAGGCCCTCAACCACTTCTCGCAGGAAGCTGGGCTGGAGAGTCTCCGTAAGGGGGGGGCCCGACGCGCGGAGCTTTTGTCGCACCGCGCGGTAAGGGCGACCCCAGGGGTCACGATTAAGACCCTCCAGCATCTCCTGTCTTTTTTCTTCTTTGGCGCGGCTAATGGCCAGCTTCAGAGTTTTCCGCGCCCGTCGGTACTCCTCATGAAGCCGGTCCTCCTCACCGTCTCCACGGTGACGCCGCCGACTGCGCGTGTAGGACCTCCGGGCACGTGTACAGGCCGCACGGAGGTCCGCCAGCTCCTGGGACCACCAGTAGACCTCCTTCCTTGGAGGCCGACGACCTCGAACGCGGGGCATGGCCGCATCGCATACATGCGTAATCGCATCGCGAAAGCGGCCAGCCCCCACGTCGACCTCCTCGGTCGGAGCCTGAGGAGACAGCCACGAGTGAATTATGGCTGCCTCCTCTAGTAGGTCCCGGTTCAGCCTGGCAACAGCCCACCGCGGAAAGCGGGATAAACGCCGCGCCACGTGACCCCTACTGGAGTCCTGGGTCCGGGAGAGCTCAAATCGGATGTACAGGTGATCCGAGAGCGTCTCAACCTCTTCCAGGACACGCCAGTTCCTTACTCGTGCGGCGAGGGCAGGGGTAGCGAACGAGAGGTCCACTATCGACCCCCCCTGCTGTCGCACGCACGTGTTGGTGGAGCCTCTGTTTAGAAGACAGAGGCCCACCGAGGCCGCCCACTCCTCTACGGCCTCGCCCCTGGCGTCCGTCCTGGGGGAACCCCACGCAATGGACTTTGCGTTGAAGTCCCCCAGCACAAGGACGTGCCCAGACGCTAGTCGCCGTATCGAGGTCTCCAAGCTGGTCAGGAAAACCTCGAAGTCGTTCAAACTCCGGTTGGGGGAGAAATAGACACCATATATGGTGATCCCCCCCCACTCGACGGCAACATATCCAGTGCCCTTGTCTCTTAGCGACAAGGGCGGGGAATGAGCCGTCGTGGAACCGACGACTGCCACGGAGCCGTCCCAGTCACCCATCCAGTTTGGACGGGGAGGGACAGAATAGGGCTCCGCGACTACGGCAACACCTATCGACCACTGTGCCATGGTTTGCAGGAAGAGATCCTGCGCCGCGGCACAGTGGTTCAGGTTCGTCTGGACCAGGAGGTTGGAGACTTGATCCATTACTGGATCGTCTCTACAACCTCCTCCATGGGCGACGACGTCGACGCACGAACTACATCGGAGGCAGCCTGGGTCGACTGGCTAACCCCCGACGTCTGCCGAGAACTGCGGGGAGGCTTGCAGCCTCTCTGCCCCATCTGGTGATTGGCGGGCTTATTGCCCGCCGCACACACTGGGCAGTGAGGGGCGGCAGAGCATTCTGCCGCCTTATGCCCCGGTTGACCGCAGCGGAAACACAGTCCGCCGCAGTCAAAACAACTGTCGCACTTGACGCGCGTGTGTCCCGTGGCCAGGCATTTAAAACACCTCATCGGTCTCGCCGCCAGGACTGTGATCCTGGCGCTCACGAAACCGATGAGCAGCCTGCCGGCGTCGGCCAATACTTTGGCCGACGCTACGGGACAGCTGACCCACACGGCGCCAAGCCCTCCTGGACCGGGGCGGATGGTGCCGACCCTGACGTTGTCCGCGCTGCACCCCGTCTTCTCCCGGATTACAGCGCGGACATCTTCGGCCGTCACAGAGTCGTCCAGGCCCGAGATGCGCAGTTCCGCGCACTTGGTAGGCCTGGCGACCCTGACACCATCAGTGGCCGCAAATATTCCCCGCAGCCTCTCGGCGAAGGAGTCCGCCGTCTTTGCGCCTTCAGCCCCAGGGAACTCGAGGACTCGAGCTCCCGTCTGGGCGAGGCGCATCCTGACCCCCACCGTTCCAAAGTCGTTAGCGAGGCTGTCCCGGGCCTTTTTAAACACGGCCGCGTAGGACAGCCCGCCGTCCGCCGCCTCCGGGGACACGGTCACCACTACAGCCGCGGTTTTGGGCGGCTGCAGCTTCCGCGGCCTCTTTGTGGAGGCCGTTGCCACCGGTGGCGAAGGCTGGGCCTGGGCTGCTTTTTTGGCAGCCTTTTTGGCCCGCCTTCGGGACTTCTTGGAGCCCCTCGCCTCCTGCCAGCCCTCGTTGGAGGGGGCAGGTGCGGAGGGGCCCGGCAGGGGTGTCGGAGTGGGGAGCGGAGGGAATGCCACTCCGCTCCTCGGCGCCGTTTTAGGCCCCGTCTTGGCCGGCACTTTGGCCTGCGCCTTGGCCGGCGCCTGGGACGGTGCCTTGGCCGGCGCCTGGGCCGGTGCCTTGGCCCCCCTCCTCGGCTTTTGGGGAGCCGATGGAGTCGGGGCAGACGCCGCCGCCGCGTAGGAGACGCGGCCTCCCACTACGGGGAGCGCGGTCGGAGCGGCGGCCTTAGGCCGCTGTGCCGACGCGAGCGGGGGGCGCATGATCGGCGCAGGGGGCAGTCTCGCCTCCAGGCCAGCCAGGCGTCCGTCCAGCATATTCCCAACTGCGATGAGGATTTCTCGCAGTTGGGAGTCAAATGCCCCTGAGTTGGTGGTAGGGGCAGGCTGGGACGCGGACGGGGCTTCCCGCTCGGGGAGGTTCGCCTGGAAGCGGGCGAACTGAGCGCTCAGCTCGTTCACCCGCTCCGTCAGCTTCTCGTTGGCCACCTGCAGGCGAGAGGACGTCGCCCGCTAGGCCCTCCACGACCTCCGACAAAGCGGAGGAGGAGTCCTTAAGGGCCCTCACAAACGAGCCCTTAAGGTTCACGGATTTGGTGGCCACCTTGTCGATGACGGCCACCGCCGCTTTCGCCCTCTCCTGCACGGACACGGGAGCCTGGGGGGCATTTCCCCCCACCGGCTCCCGAACCTTGAGCAGGAGATCCGCGATCTCCTCCTCCGCTACGGCCTCGCCGTCCACTCGCACGCTCCTGTAGGACTCCGCGTTTGAGAACGCGGAGCCTGACGGGGTCGAGACCGAGGCCGGTTTACGCGCCCTCCCTCGGCGGCTGCTTGCCACCTTTGGTGGCATCATTTCGCCGGACGTGTCGGTCCCCTCCTCCCTGGAGCGTCCGCGTTTCCTGCTGTCGCTTCGTTCCGCCTCCATGGCCTCCGCGCCATCCGAGGAGACGGCGGATCCGGAACGAATACGATCCGATGCTCTTCGGCTCCCAGAGACCAGAGTCAGACTGACCTCTGGGAGCCCCATCGAGATAGGCGTTCCCGACGCCACCTCACCCTCAGTGGACGACCCATCCACTCCACTGTTCCTCCTCTTCGTCTCATTGTCCGTTAGGCTTGCCTTTGTCTGTTGTGTGTTTTTCTTTCCGATCGTTTTCTTTTTAGTTAAATTAATATTTTCCATAATAATCCCACGAGTGGGGGAGAACTAAAGGTCCACCCGGGCAGAGATCCCCCATTACCCGGGCAAGCGTAAGTTTTTAACCCAACCGAGGGGTCCGCAGGTACCTCGGCTTGGAGTGCGCTCGCGACTGAACTTCCCATCAGCCATGCATCCCCTGGCCACGCACCAGAACACGGGATTCGGGGAATTTTTTAGAGAGGTTATCTTCCTCGCGGTCCGGGCGGTTAAGCCAAGACCCTCGCCCCCGATCAGAGCCGCGAGACTTAACCACAGCGCTCTTCTCGGGATTACGATATGCCGACGGTTGACAGGGAGACTACGTCCCCCTGCCTGCTCGGTGGTAGTGTGAGTACACGCCGAGCCCGTCCTCCTTTCTCCACCGCTGTCAGCGGAGAAACTGTGGCCCCTACAGGGCCCCGCCATCAGGTTTTTTACCGAGGTTTCCTCCTCCATGCTCCGAAGAGCGAAGAGCCAGCAGGGCAACCGGCAGACACGCCCACCCTGCTGGACCAGGCCTTGCCCGAGAGCCGATGAACGGCTGCCTCTTCTGCTAGAATATTGGCCGCTGGCGATAATCCTCTCCTCCAAGAGGACAAGGAGGGAACAGTACCATCGCCAGCGTTTCCAGGGTGCACCACGAGGAGGTTTTCTAGCCCAGCACCCCAAACCCTATACCAACCTGTTTGGCCAGCGTGGTATAGTAGGCCAAAACCTCCCTTCTAAGGACTATTAAAGGCTGTTTATGTGACGTGATATTACCGTCACCCGGGTATTATAAGAATTAGATGGGAACATTGGGTGCTCAATATCGTGCCATTTATATTAAATGACTCCAAGAGAGTCACTCAGAGATAAGTTTAAAGAAATTTATCAGACATTACGTCGGTGTTATTCCCGTGTCTCTTTTTTTTTAAATTTGATTATAATTGTACTACGACATTTGAAAGTGCTGTAATAAGTCCTACTCAATAAAGAACATTTGAGTTGAAAGAAAAATTTGCCGTAACCGTAACTCTAACAGTATATAGATATACCTACTCAAATGTTCCGCTGACGAATCCAGACTATAACGGTTAGGTTATACAATGGCTGGGTACATATGCCGTATGGACAGGCCGACTCTAAACTATGGTCGTTACTTCAAAAGGCCAATCCAGACCCATAATACTCACAAAGTTCTCTTTAACGCACTTAAAAATAAAAGACACCTCTGTGTCACGATATTTCGGCGTTGTTTCTTCCCAGAGTGAGTCTTAGAAAATGCCGGCGCCTTCTAGCTGTAAAGTCCGACTTGTAAAAATATCTGAAAAGATTTACTTGCAGAAATAAACCTACCTTTTGTATATATATATATATATGGTTACAACTTATATTTCATTTACATCTATACTTTGTTCGATACATCAAATTAATGTACCCGTATTTTTATTACAGTAATTAAGGACGAAACACATAATGGTTTAATACCTGACCACGCTTTAGTCAACATGAAGCCCAGAAAACGGCGACCTGGATTAGTTTCTGAACGACCAATTAGCGTAAGTTGTACGGTGACAATTTTCATTAAACAATCTCCATAAAACTGTTTTTATTATTTTATTTTTATATCACCCATGTCACGTTTTTTCAAATTAACCTAATTTATGAACAAATAGTGTTGGTAATGAGGTGTGTTGACACAAGGATATGTTGTACTCTTAACTTTCTTTTAACTGCTAACTTATTTTATGCATAAATGTATGCGTTAGAATGGATTGTAATACTCTATGCAATTACAGTTTTCTAATATTGTAGCGATTTGCATTTCACACCCGTAAATGATTAATAAAAAGAAAAAAAAATGATTTTTTTTTAAATATGAAAACCACATTAGGCACTTGGATATTCAAAGTCGACTGTCATATTTGAAAAATACATTCCAGTACCGCTTTAATTTAAAACAATAAACAGCACAGGATTAAGTTAAAAATGTGAATATTTTATTGTAGGCCACTTAACAAACAATAAATACATTTATCTCTAAATATATTCATAATTTCTTTTGTTTGTGGTAATAATAATGTTAAATATTTACATTTACGGTGTAGCCTCGCACCGAGGAGGACAAGTTGGCGGGAAGGTTAGAAGTGAAACGGTACAAGCAGACCAAAGAGAAACTGCGGCGTCGCAGAGAGAAGTTGATACAGAAGGTGCGCCTCCTCGCCGCCAGCAAACAGCGCAAGATCAAGGGCAGCGTTCTGGACCTTAAGGTAATTCTAATTGTAGAAACTCTGAGACCATTAAGATTGACTTACTTTCATGGCAGTAGAATCTTCGGTAGTCTTAATGATCTTATGGTTTTTTCTTTATTTTTAACAAACGACTCCCACACTAGGAATATATCCTATGTCACGGGGACTTTCCAAACATACATGAAACGGACACAAAGAATACCCAGACTCAGAACGATAATTTGTGGATCACAATGTGTCGTCCCATGTGGGGGTCTGACCCACAACACCACATGTTTGTAAAGTCCCCCGCGACACTGGATATATTCCTCATGCGGGAGTTGTCTTTTTTAAAAGAAAAAGAAAGTTATAACAAGTTAACTTATTGTCTATCGTTTTACTTCTCGATGTAAAAACCTTACACTATTTAAGCACGGTTTAAATTAAAGGTTTACAAACGTCTGATATTACGTATGTGTAAAATAGAAGGTTCTAATCCTAAATTTTCTAATTCATGCTTACCGTAAAAGAAAAAGAAAAAGGAGGAGAACAAAGAAGTATGTATTGCAACTGTTATTATTATTTAGAGCTTACATCTATACTAACGTAAAAATCAGTGAGACAGACCTATCGTCTGTTCCACCGATTTTTCCGTTACGTTATGTTATTTAGATATTTGGCTAAAAGTCGCGGTAAAAACAAATATAAATTATGTGTAGAAAGGACAATGGCAGGTCCCCATACATAATTTTATTTGAAATGAAATGTTAGCGTTTAAATATCAAAAAATCCTTAACACTTGAGAATTTATTCTTGACCATTCTCATATCAAAATTACTTGCGAAAGAAGTCTAGGAAAAAAGATATTGGATTTTGAATGTTTCGAGGTTAAGTACTAACATATTGTTAATGTTTTGTTTGAAACTAGATGGCGTTGTGTGTCAGATAGCCGAAAATATTATTTTCATTATTATTACAGTATATGAAAAAATAAAATAAAAGCATAACATCTATTCGAGTTTAACACTAAATTAAACAAAAATAAAATAACAAACGTGGTGTGTCCGGAACTTGACAGGATCTAAACCACAGATTAAGAGATATGTACTAAACGACGACGTATCGACATTTTGAAAATATCGATGTATGTCTATTTATGTGCCGTTATCAAAGACAATGTATTTTTCTCATCACACTGTGTAGTGGAAAATACCGTAACTATATTCTATTTCTTTAGTGTGTTTAAAATCGTTTAAAGAGAGTCAAAAATATTTTAAATCATTTGTAATTATGTTGATTCAGTCACTCTACCGTACGAGTGAAGACGTGGGCAGAAGCAAAGTCATAATCATAATAGTGAACCTTCGGTAAATATTTCAGCCAAAGCTATAAGAATCGATTATCGATAAATTGTTCCATAATATAATATTGCCACCACGCATCTCTAGTCAGTTATACGTGATGGCGAATCTGACATTACGTACTTAGGTCAAATAAAATCTTCAAAAATATCTTATCTCTTATAAGACTTATACAACACATGGTGGTGTAATGATAAATCATAGAAAAAATTTTGATTAAGTTTACTGTGACTCGATTTTTTAAACGCTTAAGTTTTAGGTAAATATGTTTCTGCCATTGTTCTTTGACAACTTGTGCAAGTCAACGTTGGGCAAAACTTTTATATTTGTATTTTACTTAAGCTATTTTTTACACTTAATTTCACAAGTTAATGTTTTAAATTGGTTTTAAAGATTCACTGAAATTTACTATCTTATGTGACTCATTACGTCAAATCTTATGTTAAATCTATATAAATATATTTGCAGCAAATGGTGGAGCTTGTGGACTCAGAAACAGATTCGGAAGACGATTCTGTCGAAGAACTTCCAGTTGAGAAGCCAGGAAGTTCTTCGCCTCCCGTTGATCCGGAGCCTGAGGCTGAGCCAGAAGCCTTTGAACCAGAGAACGCCATAAGCAATGACGAGAGGGACAGGAAGATAAAGGAGCTGTTTCGCAGCACCATGGCGAGAGTGATGGTGCAGCATCTCAATCCGTATAGGAGCTCCAGTGCACCCGCTGCCCGAATCACTTCCACCGCTGATTTCAAGCATTTGGCTAGGAAGGTAAAGCATCTGGTCCTTAAAATCTACTTGATATCCTAGGTGGATAGGCGTAGACCGTTCGTTAATTCTCATCTGAGGTTAGGTTTACGCTCTTATTTGTGCATGCTTTTTGGAGTACAAAACGAGCAAAACTTTTCTCTAGGACTGAATAAATTATGGATTATGACTACGTCATCTCGACATCGCTTTCTCATATAGGGGCAAACCGGCTTATCCTCGGCATGCGTCGCCACTTTATATGATAGTATATGCAACATGTGAAGCGGCGTGGCGACACGTCGCCATGTGCAAGTGACTCTAAGACAAATCTAAATATTATATTTTTAATGTGCTATATTTATTATTACCTTTCATGAGCTATTCCTGTTATACTCATTATTTCATTTACAAAATATTTTTCAGATCTCTCTTTTTTTTTAATAAAATGTCATAATCCTCATCACTTTTATTTCAGCTAACTCACTTTGTGATGCTGAAGGAACTCAAACATTGCCGGTCGGTCGAAGAACTCGTTGTCACCGACTCGGTACGGTCCAAAGCGAAGATGTTCGTGAAAAAGTACATGGCGAAGTTTGGTCCCGTGTACAAGCGACCGCCCGAGGAGGCCGACTAGCGCCCCCCCACCTCCCCACCCCACTTGCTCAGGGAGCGGGCGCATAAACAGTGTAGTGATTGAGTGCAGTGTTGTGCCGGTGTAGACCGTAAGTGCAGTCATATGTCAACGATTATAGTCTGAGCCTCAGTATGATCATAAAACTGTATATCGGCTACTCCAATACTGAGAGTGCTTAATTACATTTAATTATTACTATAAATATTGTGAGTGAGAGTTTAAAATCTCCTTTTAATGTGTAATTTAGTATTAAAATATGAAATTCAATAGATTCGACATGAAGTTAAGGACAATTACGAGAGTGCTACGACTAATATCAGTTTTCCAGTCCAATTTAGACCTTGTGTCTAGGTTAATTCCTTCAAACATGTTATTCTTACCATCCTTGCGGCGAGTTTATTTTACCCATTTCGAATCATTCTGTCCTATAAAGAATTACAACATTCTCAATTCGTTGAATAGCGAAAGAAAATCTATTTACCTAAACATAGTGTACTCTGATAAGATAATAAAATTAAAAGTAACTTCATGCCTATGAATCTCACTGTAACTCACTCAGTCTTAAGTCATTATCACAACTTTGGGACTGACTACTGTGCTCAACCTTTGGGACTGACTACAAGCTCAGCTTATTGACCTTTAAAAATGTTTTAACACCATGCCAAAGGTCATTTTAATATTCAGATAATTAATAGTGGTTATATTAATAGTGGTATAAATAAGACAGATCCAACTACAGATTTCTGGGTTAAGTAGACTTACAGTCATGTTAGCAAAAGAATTAAATTTGTTTTTGTTTGAGCTTATCTTTTGAATTTGATTTGAACTACTGTAGCCGACAGTGGTATAAAATTGTCTATAATAAAAGTCTTGTCCACATTATTTCATACCTGCTCTCCAAGCACTCACGATTCACGAAAGTTCCAAATAGAACTTCCGTTTATAATATATTTTTTGCTGTAATGTCTAAATGTCTATTGGTTCATAAAATATATATGTGAAATAAGAACTACTGTTTTAATGAAGTAAACTTCAACCTTCAAGAGTTTATGAAAACTAAAATGTAAATATATTTATAAGAACACAGCTGTATATTATTTTAAGTTGTTCCTTAGAATATACTGTATTATAGTAAATGATTAAATGTTCTTTAGAAAAGTTTTAGAATAGATGTTCGGGTAAATGCAAGGATGGCGTAGTGGTTTAAGCGGTCGCCACGCCGCTTCCTACTACGCCGAGTGTTGTGGGTTCAAACCCCACATGGGACGACACTTTGTGTGATCCACAAATTGTTGTTCTGAGTCTGGGTGTTCTTTGTGTCCGTTTCATGTATGTTTGTAAAGTCCCCCGCGACACAGGATTTATTCCTAATGCGGGAGTTGTCTTTTATAAAAGAGGAAAGAGAAAAGAGAGGAGTATTTATTAACGTACTATGATCTCGAGACAGTTTCGATATAATGAACGCGACTCGAATATGAACTGCAAGTTTAAGTACAGTATTAAATGTTTATGGTATGTGCAGTTTTTACCTACATGAGTGATTACAGAGAACATTGTTTGATGTCTAATCGATTTCCTAAGTATTTTGATATATTATTGAGCTCGTATGATTATGAATTTAGTTTTTAATTATATGTACAGTAAGGTTGAAATCTGTACAATTATAAGGATACGAATTGTTTTTTATATAAATAGTGAATTCATGTGTGTACTTTTTGTAACGGTAGGATAATTTTTAAATTGACATAATACGCCTTTTTGTGTTTCAATGAACAAGATTGGGCGGACGTAACTGAAACTCACAAGCATCTTTTTTGCTTAAGCTACATTTAGCCTAATTTTGCTGGTATCTCAATAAAATTTGTTAGTAGACCAACTCCTTGTTCACAGATTTCAGCCTAAACTTCACCGCTTACATTATATTTAATTATGTGATTATATTGGCAATGACGACAAGCCCGTATATGTTTTTAATTCAAGCAAAATCAATGAGACTAAATATCTTTGACAATTATTGTTGGTACTTCAACAAATACATATGTAATGAACGCTTTCGCTTATTGTATGAGGTTTTGCAGTGCAAATATTTTTTCATCGATACTTGACTATATTACTAGGTAAGTTTAATTTAAATTTCGTTGCGATATTGCGACAACAAACCAAACAGTTTGATCCATTAGTAAGATGATATGAAATTATGTCTGTATAAATCTCTGATTTTGAGATGTTTTATGTGTAAATATATATGTACATAAGAGTGACGTAGCATGTTGGTTGTTCGAGTTAATAAAATGAGCGATATTATTTTTGTGGTATGGTCGTGTGTGCTGTTGTCACGCATCGTGGCGACGCGTGCGTTTCCTAACTGGGCGATCAGATCGAAGCCGTTGGAACAAATTAAATGTTATTTCTTTTAATTTCTAGTTTTATTTGTGATGTTAAAACTCTAATATACATTTTATTAAGAGAAGCTGTTGCAGACAAACATCCAATTGCCGATAATCTTAATTAGAATTAGAAGTTGGTAAGTAGGCATACTACAATACATATTTATTATAAGAAAGTTAACAGCAATAAAGGTCATTTAATTTATTTATTTATTATACATTCTATAGTCCTGTATTACACGGTCAAGGTACACAAGGTACATATATAGTAATGGTATTTTGCAACTGAGCTATCTCCCACTTCTACAATATATTTTCGAAAGTAATTTATCTCAGTGTTAATTCACACCACGTGCGATTAGAACGCGTTCTCAGTGGTTAACAAATATGGTAATCAACTAACCGGTTTCTTATCGCTCGGCAGCGAGATTGGCGCCCGACAGTCTATAGCGTGAAGTTAATATGAACCTTATTCTGAATGGCTAGCGGACGTGTTTACAATGACTGCGATGATTATTCCATAGTTAACCAGCTCGGTGAGACTGACCAGACAAGGCGCAGAACTAAAAACTTGGGAAATTGACTTCTGCTATTGGATCATCATAGATACTTATATGTAGATGTGGAACTATTAGAGGCGGAGCTCATAAAATGTATTCGGGCTGATAAAGACCTTGTGACCGCTAAACGGATGAATAGGAGAACGGAGGAAGGGTGGACTCCGAGTGAAACCGTGAGAATTTATAATTCTTTACCAAGTCATATTTATTAAATAGGCCTACGAATTGCTGTCTCTTTTTGTTCCCTGTGACACAATGCTCACGATGCTTGAGGTTCGGTCGTACATCGAAGATGTGCCCCTCCAACAAGCCTCTCTGCCCGAAATCTGGCAAAAATGATTATGCAAACTGTGGTATACCTTGTGACACAGATAAAAACAACACAAAGATAAAAAAGACTCACAAAAAATAAAACAAAAGTTCCGTTCCATCTGTCCGATAATGTTATAGTGGTTATGTCTGTCACTGACTAACCCCAAAGATTCAGCTGACCTTCACGATCCTCAAATGACATAACCTGCTCCATGTATTCCAACACAACGGGTTGAAATACATAGAACTAATTCTGCTTTAGAATTAATTCATATAAAATTATTAAATTGCAATCAATTATAACATTTAATTGACATCCACGGTGCTCCGGAATCGTTGACAAATCCTCAGACGTGAGACTGTTTGTTTTCTATGGCAAACAGAAAGTCGCTTAAATTAGGCGATTTTAATGGACACCATTCAAACTGGTCTTATTAAACATATGCGAGGGGAAACGGGCGGCGGGGATAAGTTGGGTTATACATATATATTTCTTTCCTAAGAAGTCGTTTAGACTACGGTAGCTTTTTATACGCTGACAACAGCGAACCGGGTGTGGATGGGCTATATAGATTTTCCAAAAATCTAAAATATGATAGAGATTACATAAACAAGCCTAAACAGCAATATGAGACATCCGTTTTAAGAGACTTGTGTTTTAATTATATTGATACTCGGTTTCCGAATTACTACCAGATTTTTACCGATGGATCGAAAGAAAAAGGTGGCGCGGGGGGCCGCCCTCTTCGATCCTCAGCAAAATACATTCGCTCGCTATAGAGACTATAGAGTTAGTGTAAAATTGTCGATCATGCATATTGAATTAATAGCAATTAGTGAAGCGTTATCTTACACTCATTCTATTGACCACGACAAGTTCGGTTTTTTTACTGACGCTAACGCATGTAGCATACACAATTATCAATCAAATTGTAGAGTTAGAACGAAGCGATAAAACAGTACACCTTCAGTGAATTCCATCACGCATAGGCACACCTGGGAACGAAATGGTTGACACACTTGAAAAACAGGCTTTTTCTGAAGGTATATCTTTTTCAATACTGCTTTATATTTCAGACTGCCTACATAAGTATCGTAAAACACATACAACACAACAACACACACAACTACATGAGTAGCGTACTTTCCAAGGAGAGGCCAATGTGTGGACTGTTAGAGGATGATGATAATAAAACAATAATAAAGTAATTTATTTAGAACCAGTTTACTTCTGCACTAATTAAGTTGAGACAATATGGCTCCTGGTCTTATTGCATTTCTTAGATTTCTTTTGTGCCAAATACTTGTCACATTTCGGGTCACAAGTTTTAACGTCTCTGCCCAACTTGCGGCACATAGATGGTGATTTATTGTACCTGGGACATTTCTGGAAAGAAAATTTAAAAAATTAAGTAATTGAAATACAATGTCGGTAGTTACTTAATTTGCCAGTATCAAAAATTGAGTAACATTATAGAAGGAAAGGTTTTAAGAAGTGAAAAGAGTTTTAAATGTTTGGGAGAGTTTAGGTAAAAGTAAGACCGACCAGCATCTTAACCACTTCGATTACACACATTATCTCGCATATATGTATGTAAGTACATTGACTGTACGTGGGGGAGTCATTCTTCGTTATAGGGGCTGGCTCAACCGGAGTGTTACAGAAAACTTCGTTGCTTTTCACCGAGTGATGGACATTACCAGTGACGGGCATGTTGGTCTAGTTTCGAGGTTCGAGGTCGCGAGTTCGATTCCCACGCAGGACGAATAACTGTGTAATGAGCACGGTAATTTGTTGTGTCTGGGTGTAATTTATCTATAATATGTATCTATTTAGAAATATATAAGTAAGTTTATCTGCAGTCTGGTTACCATAGCACAGGCTCTGCCTAGTTTGCAATCAGACGGCCGTGTGTGAGTTTGTAAAGATTATTATTGGTTTATTGGTTATTAGTATTAAGATATTATTATTGGTTGCATGTGTCCACGAACGTCTTTAGTCTCTTACCCATCAGATGACCCATCTACTTGCCCCTATATCTACCAAAAAATAAAAATATGTAGGTACTTACACGTAAATAACTAACGTAGGCGCACGTCATGTACTGCAAAACTTCACATTTAGGGTCGTACGATGTGACATATCGTTTGTATCCATGCTTTTTAATGCATTCCTCTCTTATCATTTGGTTCATATCTTTAGTTAGAGGCTGTTCAGCGTCCAATCTTTCAAGCAACGCGTAACAACTGGTGATGTTGATTTTGCCATTTTGTGATATGTGATATTTTTCTTCAGTTACGCAGTTTGCTAATTCACACTGTAAAACGTACAACAACGTAACGTAGGTATAGTTACCGCAATAGCGAATAAAGAGTATCTAATCTGAGAGCAGTTATCTATCGCACAGATCACTTAGACACAGAGACAACTACTGCAGTATTGGCCTGTAGTAGGTATTGTGTGAAATAATCTCAAACTTTTTGGTATATTATATATATATATATATATATATATATATATATATATATATATATATATATATATATATATATATATTATGTAGTCTCCGTGGAATAAAACAAATTATATAGTATTCTTCTCAATAAAAACTTCCTAAATGGATATTTTTAAAATTTCTTTTTCACATTGCAAGTTTTATCCTGATGAGCCCCGTAGAGGGTAAGACAAGAGTTGTATCAGTATTTACGGAGTACATTGTTTCCGATATCAGAACTGTATTAAAATTTCCAGAAGCGATGTTTCGTTTCAATGGTCTGGATAATTACTAAGCTGGACAAAAGTTTGTGTCAAAAGAAGTACCTATAGACTACTTGAAACAAATTCAGAAGTTTCTTGATCATGTCCGAGTCAATCTTGATTATAGTAGGAGAGCCCATGATGCTAAATGGGGATTTACTCAAGCGTCATGGAGGTCTCCTACTATAATCAAGATTGACTCGGACATGATCAAGAAACTTCTTATTGCATTTAAAAGATTACGTAATAGAAGGAATAAAATTTTTATAATGTTTCCACTTTTAAGCGGTGGAAAAAGCTTCTAGAGGTTTTCAAAACTGTAAGGGAAGGAAATCGAAATAAAAATATTCGGGGCGCATCAGACATTTTGGGGATATGTTAATTGGACGCCAAAAATACTCCCATCGAAAGTTCTGACGATTTTAAAGTGGCACAAGTTTGTAGCGAATTATCGAAAATGCAAACTGCAAATTCGAAAAATCGCCATTTTGAAATACCCAAGCGTGTTAGATTTTACACAAACGGTTCAGCTCGATGTTCCTGTCATACTAGCCAAAAATCTGTCAATAATTTTGCAGGGTATTTTAAATCTGACGGTTTGAAATATTTTGATTTTTTATAAAATAGGACAAATAAGGACACGAAAAATAATGTAGACACTTAAAGAATTTTTCTTTCATTGTTTGCTTAAAAAATAATAATTGCAAGATCATGTGTTCTTTTTTGGAACTTTGTGACCCTCCCACTGCTTTATCGAATCGTCAGTTTTTTTTAAATATAAACTAATGTGTATGTTATTGACTTAACTTACCTTATTCTTACACGCTCGGGTAAATAACGATGGCCAAAAATACTCATTTTTGGCTATCGTTTTTTTACTAATCATCAAATGAGTAGATTAGATTAGGTCTGCCCTAGATGATCCCCCTATGTGTAGGGCTTATGTATGGTGTAGGTACTTAACGGGGTGTAAGGTATTCCTCCTATGTTAGGTAATCTGCCACGCTCGAGTAAATCCCGAAATCCCTTCTAGGACTCCCCTATTATTATGTACGTCCGTCTAAATACTGATAATTTACAATTTATTATTATTTAAATGCTTTAAGTTAATACTCTGTGTTGTGTCACCACCCCTATTCATCCCGATGGTATCATAGGAGCCAACTAAGAGAGTAAACGACGCAGGACAACAGCACTGCAAAGAGAAGGAAAACTTGAAACAAACCCTATACCAACCAGTCCGGCTAGCGTAGTACCTATATTAGGCCAAAACCGCCTTTTTAAGGAGAGGTCTATGCCCAGCAGTGGACTAGTAAAGGCTGTTGATGAAGCTAATACGATGAATTTTCCTTTCCTTTTCTTTAAGTTTTTTATCAAAAGTAGTACGGAAGCTAGTTAAGGAAAGGCTGATCAATACAAACAACTGGTTACTTTAATATTTAATATCGCCGAATCCACAGAATGCAGAATTTCTTACCGTTAGTTCTGTTGTTTCCATTTCTTTATAACAGGCTCTAATCCTGCTAACGAATGCTTTCATTGGATCACAGCACGTAGCTGACATTGCCTGTAATAAAATTGGTTTAGGTGACTACTCAACTACAAAAATCTTGGACGGTCGAGAAGCCACCTTAAAAAAAAAAGTCGAGCCGTCCACTCGACCGCGCAAGCCACAAAATTCCTAGCCTATCCTCAGGTCAAATAAAAAAAATATATCCTGAGGCGACCTCCTGCAATAGGGACACATAATTTAAGCAAAATGAATCTTTATGTTTCTTTTTGAATATAAAAGAGTCCCATTATGTACTAAACTCAGAAGTGGCCACTAGACATCTGTTTAGATCTACATTATTTATCCTTATAAGTAAAGATAAACATGTAATGTACAGTCCTTCAATCAGATTTACCGTTCATTAAAAGTCCAAAACCAAATTTTGCACTATTACTAATTCGACAAAAATCGTTGTTCGGAGAACTGTGTCTTTTTTTTAAACATTATAACGCTCAAAAGGAAGTTATAAGCATTTTAATTAATCATGAATGTCGTGGTTTCGCATCAATAAAATATTGACGCTCTGAGGATTTGTTGCCAAATTTTTAAACTTGTGATAGCCAATCCTATATAAAATTAGAAACGGTGTATTCGATTGTTAGAAAGACACTAAAAAAATAACTTAAAATAACTAGGCAGGTAGGTAAATGTTACCGGTACATGATGTAAAACAGAAATCCAGAGAAAATACTGAACTTCAGACGGTTCCAGTATCGACTAAGTCTTAAAGGAAGCCATCATCATCATCAACAGCCTATACTAGTCCACTGCTGGACATAGGCCTCACCTTACAGGAAAAAGGAAGCCATACATTCGCAAAATTAGCTCAGAAAGGAGTGAATAAAATTCTATAGAAGAAGAGTGGGAGCAGGGTTATAGTTTTGTCATCCACTTTAGCAAAGAAGAGTGTTTAGGTGGTGGCTGTGTCAGCATAAGACGATAGGTACAGGGTGATAGCACAATCTCATCATAAATGTTTTGAATAAAAATTACTCACTTTTTCGCTAAATACATAATCACATGCTTTTTTCGTTGAATCATCTAAACACGCTGTAAACGCCTGTAAATCAATTTATACATAAAAATAATTTTAGTCCTCAATCACTTTATGGTTACCGGTCATTTATATATTATATGCGCCTAATCAGAATAAGTTCCAACTTGTTTTAGTTAGCCATGCCTTTACCTTTAAATTGTGCTGCCCGGAGCACCAGCTTTGGTCTTTGCATGTGCGTGGGTTCCACACATGTGGGGGGCATCTTTAAGCCGTAGATGGCCCAAGGTCCGTCAGGGTACCACTGTACTAGGAATTTCCTTTCTAGGTTGCATATTGCGGTTGTAGTCGATTCGAGTCCGACATAACCACCCAACCTGCCGGGTTCGGTGGGTGGTATCCGAGGGGATTGCCGCACGAAAAGAAAAAGGGACTAAATATAATTTATTTATAAATGCTCACCGAGGTAACTGAAACAATTAGAATGAGATACGCATGAATCATTTTCGCTTTTAGAAACTAACTTTAGAATGCCCCATTCCTTATGAGACGACAATAACTTCTGAATATGTATTTAAAATAATGCTTATTTGGACTCTTTTATTGACTTCGTGTGTTTTGTTGCATTAATTTGCGTACTTCGATTGTCACGTAACACAAATTATCGTTTTAGAAATATTAAATTTATTGTCATCGTGATTTACACTGTTTTGTAGCTATATTTGGTATTTATGGTTGTTTTAAAAGCACTTTTAACACGCTTTTATTAGTTTCGTCTGTAACTACTTAACTAAATATGTTTAGAAGTCATGGAATTTAATTTTAACTATACTTCAAATCTGTCCTTCTCCTATCGAAATGAAACTTGGTATGTGTACGTACTTTGGATGAAAATACTACTTATAATTTGGCATCTTGGAGTTTATGATTTAGCCTGAAGGTGCATACTGGAACTTTCAGTACTACTACAGAATACTAGTAAACTCCACTATTTGGATGCATGATCCATACTTTTTTATTATAAATATGAAAGTGAGTTTGTTAGCTTGTTTGTTGCGCTTTCACGCCTTTAAAAATCCAACCGATTTTAAAATTCTTTCAACAATGGGAAGCTACACTATCAGCGAGTAACATAGGCTACTTTTTATCGCGATAACCGACATTCACGCAGGCGGAGCCGAGGGTCAATGGTAGTCGCAGAACAACCTCCGTCCTCTATAAGCACAGGCCCGGGGGTGACAGGTGAGGCCATCTGTCACCCTAGCAGAAGCAGGCCGGGGTGGCGGCGAGCGCGTTGCGAAGCGCGCTCGCTTCCAGGGAGCAGAGGGAACATGGGGTTCCCACACGGGGGGGGGGAGGTCGTCTACTCGTCTGTAGATGGCCCGAGGTATGTCGGGGCACCAGGGACTTCCTTTCTAGGGTATACTTGTTTCCCCGACTATTAGTACTTGTTTCCCCGAGACGGCGTGTGGTTTTAGTCGGTTCGACTCCAACATGCCACCGATAGGTGGTAACCCAGGGGATTTCCGCACGGAAAAAAAGGGTCAATGGTAGTGTGATATAAAGAATGCCTTTTAATGGTGCCAGGATGTGTGCATACTGATACTCTCTTCTACTTTTTAATTTAGTTCTATATTAAAGTGTGAATTTTTAGTTCACTTAAAACGGAATTTATTTCGATTAACTAATTCATAACACGGAAAAGTAAATCACTTATTGTTAGGTAAAAACTCATAATAATTATAGCTACAGCTCAATTACTTATGATAACTTCTAAGAAGTTTGAAGTACTCGTTGACTATACTCGGCCAGTACAGTCTATAGTCAGTAGATCTAAGTAGGTTTGTGTTGTTAATTTATTTGATTTTATATTTTACATCAATACACCACAGTTTGTAGCTAATCCTTAAAAAGTCTATTTAGAATCCAACGAGTGCCTAAAATTAAAAGTAATTTAGTTGCTTCCATTATTCTACTGCTGCTGCCTCCAAAACTCCTCTCGATTCTCTAGAAATCTGATAGCTTCTTCAGCTTGTCTGAGAACGATGTCGTTTTTCTTATCGGCTATAGCCAGATCTGGGTTCTTCAATAAATTTTCCAAGTAGACCTTGTCGGAATTAAGCTGTCCTAACACGGGTCTGGCCGATTTAGATCTCTGTCTTCCATTCTTCTTCTTTACTGATTTTACAGCACCGATTGTATTTTCAATAGCTTCCTGAAAAGTGTTTAATTAAATATTTAGGCGTATTATTCTCTTTGTGACTCATATTTTGTTAAAGTTAAAGTAGGTTACTCATATAGTGTTTAAAAAAAAAAGTAAATAAGGTTAAAGGAAACAATAGTCTTATATTTTTATTTATCGAAATATTCAGTTGAAGTAAATATAAAGTAAGATATAGGACGACCTTTTATGTTAAAAAGTATTTCATATACCTACCTAATTACAAAATAAATAAAAGATTGTGGGAGAGCCATGGCTGCATAAATAGGCTAGCTCGACTATAGTGATACATCACGGCCTCACGGAAACCAGTGTTAAGTAATTCTTTAATTGATTTTGACCTAGTGGTTTTGTAAATCTGTCGCAGGTGTGCTGATGATTAATAAATCATATGATTTATTACTTGCAATTGTGATTTTATTCTATCCCTAGTGACAATACACTTGTAGTACATGTTGAGTTGCAGGTGTCAATGGGTCGAGATCGTTACTTACCATCAGATAACGGGACTGTCCTTTTGCCCCCTTATATCGTAAAAAACTTGAATGAATGAATCGTGATAAAAAATTTAAACCATACCTGAGCTTTTTGGACTCCAAGCCTGAAATCATTTAGATCCGGTCTTGCTCGTAATCCCCGATGATAATGAACGAGGCTCATCTCGAATTCACCACAATAGTACAGAGCTTCCGCTTTACGGAGCAGTGCCTTTGCGTTTTTGGGGTCGAGCTTCAAAGCAGCTTCTGCATCCGTCAGAGCTGAACGGGGCTCACCCAGAAGTAGGTAGCATTTGCTTCGGGCCACATATGCCTGCTTCTCATCAGGAGCTAATTCAATTGCCTGAAATTGAAGACAGAGTACCATTAAAGTGAGATGGAAATACAGATTAGTTGACAGCCTGTGGTATTTCTCATACAGGATTCTTCATTTGTTGTAAGAAGTTCTGAATAAACATATGGCCTGCTGGTTGGTAAGTGCTTACCAGTGCCTAAAAATACTAGCCTACAAATAACAGCAGCGTAACTCACTCATTTTTAACCTGATTGCCCTATTCATGGAGTGGATTATAAATATGCTTGAATAATGATAATATACTTAAATATTGTTGATTATTTCCTAGTACCTAGTCGTTTCAATTACAGTATTGGCATATGTAAAATTATATACCTTATTGACAAATAAAACAGCAGTGCGGTACCGTTCTCTCATCATTTCAGCTCTAGCTAATGCTAGAAGTGTACCGGCGTCGGCTTCCACAGGTAACTGCAGGGCGTTACTTCTTTCGGCTTTGTCTTTTAGGTTAAGAGATTGTTTAATATCCTTGGAACCCATCACTACAGCTGCAGCCCGGTCTTTATCTGTGTACAATTCTTCTTCTCGCCTCCTCCTTTCTCGTTTTTGCTTCCGTTTCCATTTCTTCTTCGGCTTGGCCGACTCCTTTCTCTCCTTTGCAGAACTTTTTTCAACTTCAATGTCAGGTGCAGGCTCTTTCCCAGCGGATGCTGGACCTCTCTTACTTATCGAGGCTTTCTGCACTGGGGTTTCGTCTTCCTCGTCGCCTACGCCGACACGGACGAAGCTTGCTAAGAACTCAGCATCTTTGGTTGGTCCGAGGATAGACCGAGCCTGTGCTTGGATGTCCATAGCGTATGTTACAATGTGGCGTATGTAACCGTGAAGTTACGTAATAGAGTGGTGTGTGGTAAGGCGTTAGTATCGACGCCTCAGCTGTTGTCGTCATGGTGACACAATGTGTTTTAGCACCCACTTCTAACACACTAGTCGCGCGTGGAGCGTGCCGTGAAGTGGCTGTCTCCCATAGATAAAACACTGTCTCCTCGACCAATGAATGTTACAACTTGTATGATGTTTGAACATTCCTAATATTAATTCACCTTAAAATTATTACCTACTTACATATTACCTTTACTCTTATGTTCTTTAATTAACTTAAACATACATGCAAACAACATTTAAGAAGCGTTAAACTGGTGTAACATAATGGTAGCACCTTTAAAAATTTTTTTTAGTAAATAACATAGTCATATAGCACATTCATAACAAACTGTGTGCCGCGGTGGTTAAATATTTTGCTGTACCATCAGAGATCGCAGGTTTGATTACCGGTCAGTAATGTCATTTTCTTGTCAACAGCAAGATGAGATGTTAATTGCTCACATATATGTGCTCATTTATTATAGGTTTACAACAAACTTTGAAGGTAAATAGCAATTTGAAAATCTGATAATCATAGCACTATGGTATTTAAATCTTATCAATACAGAGACCCCAATTAGTAGTCACTATAAATTTGCGTGTGTATAGTGTATAGTAACGCTATCGCTAGAAAACTTCCTTCCTATTGTTACAAGAATAATAATAGGAACTTTTTTGATTTCTTGGACTACTCATAGAGGGCAGTACTTTTAAGTTTCAAACATTCTTAGTTTATTTAAGGTCGACTAAGAATAGGATATATATTTAAATTTATACTTATTTATAGTACTCTATTGGTAGAATTATAAACAAACATACTTACATGACAAACATTTATGAAATTAGTCGTACTAGTCCAGTAATTTTTACCCTTTAATCTTAAAAAAGTAAACATTACGTTAGTGTGTATACTACAATGGCAGTGTGTGTGCACTAAGCAACCCCTACCCTTACGTCGCGGCGTACAAACCCCATGGTATTGAACAACTTCCGTATTTTATGCTCGCCTAGTACCACAACACCATAAGGGTAGAAATTCTATTGTTAACAATTTGTGACGTTACCATACTACAACCGTAATATCCCATAGCTGTAGAAAGAGATATTACTCAATGCTAGAATGAGATAGCAATAAGTTATCAAGTCGTAAGCTTCGTTTTTTATATCATGAGTTTGTATTCGTTATAAAAACGAATATTGGCTATTTGTACGATCCTCGCTGACATCATTGTGAAGGACACGAAAAGCCAGGGTACCAGGCTCACAGAGACTATACAGAGATCGGCTGATGGCGAGATTGAATGTCCATGGTAAACAATGGGGACAACGTGTCATTATTTTACCATTGCCAAGATACAGATGCCTTTAAACTTATATTACTCTATGGTTGGATTGGATTGAATATGAATTATGAATATAACAACCGTACGAGTACAATATGCATCCACATTAACGGAATAAAATATAATTGAGTTGAAATAAATCAAAACATTTATTAAACCAGGTAATAACTAGTAAGGTATGTTATTAGATAGTCAATAAGTTATTATTACCATCTTTTGAATAATGTATAACCGACTTCAACGCAGTTTACGAGTATATCTCATAATTTTCACCCATTTTTTCTACAATAATGTAACTAACTTTGGGGTTCCACAATGTAATATAGAAAGAACTAATTGAAACCGGTTCACAATTAGCGAAGATGTGTCACACACAAAAATTTATCAGCGGAATTGGGAAAATCAGGTAAATTTAAATTAATTATTGACATACCAAAATATATACCTAAATTTTTACAGAGGTTATTTTGGTACTTGTTTTAATTATGACGATTATTCTAAGCCAACAACGTCATTGCTATGTCGTTAAGACTGTTAATTTTAAAAATCTATTTTGGTTACGATGCTCTGTATAAATGCACCCTAGCATTTCCTGAAACTACAAAATATTGTGACGACTATTATTATGTTAATATTAGTGAGATTACTTTCGTGACAAAAACATATAATGGCGAACTGCCTTTTTGTTATTAAAAATAAGCTCATCAATTCTGAATTTATGAGGGTAAACATAGAAAGTATATTGGTATCTAAATGTTTAAAAAGTACAAGTCTAAACTTTTAACTTGTGCTGTTGTTTTTTCTTTATTTCAGTCTGTCTAGGTGACTTTAAGCAATATTTTCACAATGATGATTCTAGCGGATTGCGAGGTATAGATCCAGTGACATATCCTCCTATAGTAAATACTGAGGTACTCCCTTCTTTAGTCTCCGAGTACTTGGAAATTGATCATCCATAAGGTGGTGAGCAAGTATATTTGGGTGTAGCTGCAGTCTTTCACTATCTGTTTTGACTTTATTCTTTATTTCTTCTTTTCTGTTTTGATACCAAGTTCGCGGTGAAGTCACTCGTTAGTGACGAACCATGGTGCATCTACAATTATCCTCAACATTTTTGACCTAAACCTTTTGCAGTATTTCAATTTTTGAATTTGCTCCAGTGCCCCATAGTTCTATACCGTGTGTCCAGATGGGTTTTATTAGACATTTATATAACAAGAGTTTATTTTCTATTGTGAGTTGCCTATTTTTATTTAACAGTCAACACATTTTGCTTAATTGCTGTCCCATTGCTAGACGTTTAGTAAAGATGTGCTTTTTCCAAGTTAGGCATCGGTCCAGGTACATGCCAAGATATTTTATTTCATCAGATTGCGGTATTTATACACCATTTAGTGGTGGGCAGGTCTGTCGCCTGGTAGTAAATGTGACTTAAACTGATTTTGATGCGCCAGTCTTTCAACCACGCCGTGATTTTATTTAAACTATTTTGTAGTTTAATAGTGCCTAGATTTGGCGCGTCATCAAGGGCCATGACTGCTGTATCATCGGCAAAAGCTCCCATAAAACATCATCAGATATCGACAGGTCTGCGGTATAGAGTAGGTGCAGTGTAGGTCCCATTACACTACCCAGTGGAACTCCTGCTTTGACTTCTTTAAGTTCTGTAGTTTCCTCTCCTTTACTGATAAAGAAGTGCCTACCAATCGAGTAGGATCTAATTAAATCTTGAAGAATATTTTAATATCAAAATAATTTAATAATTAAATTATAATGGTTACTAGGCAATATCTTCTTTGTGCTGATGTACAGCAATATTAATGAGATATGTTTTTGTTAGTGATGTGCCGGATATCCGTATCCGTATCCGTATCCGCGGATATCCAAGGGAGAAGAGAGATCCGTAACCGTATCCGTATCCGTGACTTTTTTGGCGGATCTTTCAATACATATTACATAGATGAAATTCTATATAGGTGATTTTGTATTTACTGTAAAACTCTTAGGTATGTGTTTGTAACACTATAAACAGCAACTTTTTTTCTGGCCAAATTTTTCTCCATTCAAATGACCAATCAAATGTTGTTAGTTTGTATGGAGAAACAATTATTTTTTTTCGTTTTCGGTGTTAGTCCAGAAGAAAAGTTGTTGTTTATAATGTTACTAATATGCACTTCAGAGGTTTTCAGTAAATTTAAAATAACCCTGAATAATGGTTATTAGGTAGCTATGAAAAACTATTGAATTCTGTTCAGATTATTTTTTATTTCTTAAAACAAATATTTGGCACCTTTGTATTGCAATCATTTATCGTACTACACTGAATCAACTAGGCAGGTTGTAGGTACTGAAAGAGCTATCTTTATAATGAGATCAATCAAACATCTTTGTATTAGCTTATTAAAATAATGAAATATTTAAATATCAACGGCAAAGCGTCAAGTGGCGACAACTATCAAGGTTACGGGCTCCGATTGAGCAAGAAACTTAAGATCCGTATCCGTATCCGTATCCGCGGATCTTGACACCAAATATCCGTATTCGGATCCGTATCCGCGGATATACTTTGTTAACGATCCGGCACATCACTAGTTTTTGTTAACATTGCTAGAAACATGAATTAATCATTTAGCTTTTTTTTGTTGTTACCCCAACCTCATTTATTTTAATATTTGAAAGTCAGGAAAAAAAAACAGAAAATAAAATTGACGAAGCCGCTTTAGCTTATAATCCTTTTTCATAAAAATACACTAGAGCCGGTTCTGGAAGTATTTGTTGAGATATATAGAATGAAGAGAATTTACAATAATTATATTCATTTAGAACATAGCTTTTGTTGCAATTACTAATTTTATAATTTTGCTCTTAAATATCAGCACTATTTTTAACTGTTTAAATATTTTAAAATCTTCTCAATAAAAAAATCTTAGTATTACTCTTAGATTTTTCGTCCTCAACTTCTTTAAACAGATTTCTGGCTACGCATTTATTAGCGAACACACTCTCACTCTTACACTGTTGAGATTTTCATATCAAATTTTAGAAACATTGCATGCAATAAATTATGTAACATAAGTCCAAATAATAAGGTTATAATTTTACTAGATACTCACATTTAACTAATCGCTACGCTAAATGACACGATCTGATCTTAAGAACAAATAGTCTACCTTAGCAAGTGAAACAAGAGCACGATCATAATTTCCATTTTTGAGATGTCCCGTTGCCTCGTCACGATGTTTTTTCGCTTCGATTGGATTTGTGATCGGCAGTTCCGGCTCCTTGTTACGCCCCATCGCGTCGAGTTACAGGATCTACGGCTGAAATTTGAATAAGCATTGATCTTAGTTATCGCTGAAGATCATCATCCACATTTGTTACTAATAAACTTTATAGAATAATGATCTAGTTTCTGCAGTATAATCTAAAATTCGTAAAACACATCACTGTACCATCGAGCAAAGAATTTCGAGTCAGTTAAGAACAGACAGAAACTCCATTGTGGAAATAAAAAATAACAAAATTATATTCCATTTGATAAAAAGACTTTATAATAAATTCATGTACTTAAATAATTTTTATACG